CCCGAATGGACTATCGGAACTATTCTGTCTGCTAACTTTGATGTGCCTCCTACCACACTGCTCAGGAGAATCCCAACCCCGAGTCCATGCTGCAATCCTCTTGCTCCATCCCTATACCCACCAACTACACACTCCTGACAAAAACCAGGCCGCACTCAGGGTTGACACCACTATGTAGTCATGGCTTCAAAACTCATCGGAGCCTCTAGTATCACTCATCAAGCCTCTGCCAGGTCCTTGGTCAGCACCCTCTTCCATTCTCCACAATAACTTCCAAATGTTTCTACCCCTTAGATTCCTTTCTCTCTCTCTTTTTTTTTAAAATACATTTTATTGATTTTTTACAGAGAGGAAGGGAGAGAGATAGAGAGTTAGAAACATCGATGAGAGAGAAACATCGATCAGCTGCCTCCTGCACATCTCCCACTGGGGATGCGCCCGCAACCCAGGTACATGCCCTTGACCGGAATCGAACCCGGGACCCTTTAGTCCGCAGGCCAATGCTCTATCCACTGAGCCAAACCAGTTTCGGCAGATTCCTTTCTTTCGATGGTTGATCTCACCTCATTCTTTAATGAAACTGAGGTTATGAGATGTGCTCTCCCTCCTCTTTGCTCATGCCATCTATTCATGTATTTACATGCAGATCAGTATTGATCCCTTCTTCCCTTCGGCCTCAGAAGATGTAGGATCCTTCCTCTCATTAATGGGCAGCCTTCCACCTGGGACCTTGCTCCTGTCTCCTGGATACTGTCTCCTCCAGACCCTTCTCCATAAGTACCCCCACCCTCTCACTCTTCCGTGGAGAATGTGGAAGAAACACAGGGCAGCATTCCAGCCTTCAAATAATCTATTTTGTGTGGTTGTTCATCCTCACCTGAGGATAGTTTTCCATGGATTTCTAGAGAGAGTGGAAGGGAGAGGGAGAGACAGAGAGCGAATCGATGTGCGAGAAACACATCGATTAGTTGCCTCCTGCACGCATCCTGACCAGGGACAGGGAGCCTGCAACCAAGGTACGTGCCCTTGATTGGAATCGAACCCGGGACCCTTCCGTCTGAGAGCCAACGTTCTATCCACCGAGCCAAACCGGCTAGGCTGAGCCTTCAAATAATTTAAAATCTGCTTAAAGAGACAAGATTAAGAGACACTGGGTCAAATAACAAAGCCGATGGATAAAATCCTCAGCCTCCTATAGTCTCATGAATCTGTCACCTGGTCATAGAAGGCTCCCACTGGAAGGAACTACAAGGTCAGCTGATACCCCTGTTCCAGGCGGGCATCCAACCAAATGAACCAAGGAAGACAGTTGTCTCACCTCCCATTAAAACCCACCAGAGACAGACACTCCAACAAGTTTCCGTCCCAAGTTGACACTTGCGCTGTCCTTAGGAGCATCCAGAAGGGATATATATTGTGAGGGTGAGCCAACCTATTTTCTCCAAATACCTCCTTCAAAAAGCCCACACAGCCATCAAGTAAAATTACTTTCTGGAAATGAATAACGGGGAACTCTGGGAAAGTACCATCAGCACCGGGACTATCAGTTACAAGAGGCCAGTTCCTTCTTGGAGGACTTGATGGCCGCTGGGAGATATCCTGAAAGGGTGGGGTGACCTTTGCCAAGTGGCCGAGGGTAACCTGAGCGATCTGGAGACAGACACACACACACACACACACACACACACACACACACACGCACACACATGCACGCATGCACATGCACGCACACACACGCGCACGCGTTTACTGCCCCATCCAGAGTCTCTGCTGACCCGCCCTCCCTCTACTTTTTCATTTCTCCTTGGGAGTCTCCATCTGAAGCCTGGAAATTTGCCCAGCTTGCTTGGCAGAAGTCATCCAACCCTGTCCAGTGACCGACAGAGGCTTTGCCACAAGGTCACTAACCCTAGACAGCCAACCAAACCCAGTGCAGGAAGGACTAGGCCAGTGATGGCGAACCTTTTGAGCTCGGCGTGTCAGCATTTTGAAAATCCCCAACTTCACTCTGGTGCCGTGTCACATATAGACATTTTTTGATCTTTGCCACCATAGTAAAACAAAGGCTTATAGTTTTGATATTTATTTTATCTATTTAAATGCCATTTAACGAAGAAAAATCAACCAAAAAAATGAGTTCGCGTGTCAGAGGTGACATAGGTTCGCCGTCACTGGCCCAGGCTAAGGCGCTCTGTTGGCCATGGAGCATCTCCACCATAGCATCCCAGAGAGCCACAGTGAGGCACCGGAGCCTGGGAGCAAGGACCACTTCTGCAAATCCCTAAGGAGGGGGTCATGGGAACCTCTGATATTTCTTTATTTGTTTGTTTATTTATTTATTATAATCCTCACCCAGGGATATTTTTCCATTGATTTTTAGAGAGAGTCGAAGGGAAGTGGGGAGATAGAGAGAGAGAGAGAAACATCGATGTGAGAGAAACACATCGATTGGTTGCCTCCTGCATGGGCTCCAACCAGGGCCGGGGATCGAGCCTGCAACCAAGTGCCCCCGACTGGAATGGAACCCAGGACCCTTCTGTCTTTGGGCCAATGCTCTATCCACTGAGCCACACTAGCTAGGGTGGAGCCTCTGATGTATACCCAGTTGGTCAGAAGCACAGGTAACGACCTGGACCAGCACGCGACTGGCATCTGAAGTGGAGGGCGGTGTTGCGGGACTAAGTCCCTAACCTGTAGGACCTGCCACAGTCCCCAGGGAGCTAGAATTGACTCGACTTGTGGGACACCCACCTGGTACCCAAGAATGACTCAGTGAGGAAAACCCCACACACGTTGGCATTGGTTCCGAAATCGGACCTATGACCTGCATTTTACACCAAAGCTTCAGTGAACATACTCTGTCCATCTTGAAGGATACGGGGGGTCGTTTAAGGTATTTCCACCTGGAGGAGCCATTATCAGGAACATCAATGACCACATTTCACCCATAGGGGAAGAGTCACTCAATATTCAGGCTTATCGGTCGGAGACCAAAATAGCCTCTTCTGGGGCAAAGAGATGGCTTCCACACAAGCTCAGTCCCCTGTGAACCCCAGGACCACAGTAGAAGACTCACCAAAGTTTCCCTCCCCCAAGAGCCAGTCACCATGGGCCACGAGGGACACCTCTTTGGTGCTGAGCCTGGATTTTACGCAAGGGACCAAAATGCTGTATTATCTGAACGAGCACCATCAAAACTAATGAGGCCTCTGCCCTTGATGGCTCTTCCTCCCCATCACAGACTATTCCCGGCCACCTGTGAGCGCCCCCCTTTTAAGAGCCGCCCAGGGCTCAGAAGGCCACGCTGAGAACCAGTTCATCAGCCCATCGGCCGGCTGCACAGAGCTCAACGCAAGGAGGGAAGGGCAGCCTGGCGAAGCTCCCAGCCCCACCGCACCCAGCGCCCTCTGCCCAGGACTTGCCGCGGTACAAGGAGTGACCCAGAAGGCGAGGGAACAGGCTGGCTCAGTGGCCATGTTGAAATTCCAGAAGGAGAGCAGATGGGGAAGTCATTTCAAATGAATATTCATAAGAAGAGAATCAATTAGCTTCCTCAGGTGCCACCTGCCTGTCAACCCGGTTTAGCCCACAGCTGTGGGAGGTAAAGGGGGGAGGGGTTACACCCGCACATCACAGCCTTCACCTTGAACGCTTTCACAGACTCCCCGGGTCTGATGCCAAACCCGGAACTTGGGCACACCTGGCCTGAAAAGATGGGATATTCCGTGTTCGTGACCTTGGAAACAGGAGCCTTAGGAGCAAGGACCACTTCTGCAAATCCCCAAGGAGGGGGTCATGGGAACCTCTGATATTTATGTGTTCACTTATTTTTAAAAAAATACATTTTATTGATTTTTTACAGAGAGGAAGGGAGAGGGACAGAGAGTTAGAAACATCGATGAGAGAGAAACATCCATCAGCTGCCTCCTGCACACCCCCTACTGGGGATGGAGCCCTCAACCAGGGCATGTGCCCTTGACCGGAATCGAACCCGGGACCTTTCAGTCCACAGGCGGATGCTCTACCCACTGAGCCACACCTGCTAGGGCCGGTGAAGCATCTTTTAAGTTCCCGTCTGATTGTTTCATGCCTCACATATGAATTGAGATTCCTGGGCTGCACGGGAAGCTCCAGCCAGTCTCATTAACTTCTCACACCCTCGCAGAGGAAGCAGGCGGACGTGCCCACGCCTGGCTGGCAGAATTCGAGAGGGACAGTTGGAGCAGGTCAACCAGAGAGCCAACCGCCGAGGGGAAAGGCCATGGCCTCCCCGAGGCTGCCACTCACCCCAAAAATGTATTCTCTTGTCACCCTCACCCCCACCCATTCAGCAGCTATGGACGGGGCACGCTGCAGAGTCAGCCAAGCCGCCCGCAAGCAGGCATCGCTCTGCGGAGGACGGAAATGGATCGCACACTCACTCTTTCCAGAACTCTCTGTCAGGGGTGAAGGGCCGCTCTGGACACTTCGGTCTCCCAGAGCCCTGCCCAGAGACCCGCCGATGGCTTTACACTTCCGTCCGTGAGTCAGGCTCAAGGACAGTTTATCCCCGCACGCGGGTGAGAGTGTCAGACGGCTCCCCTTCGCCGCGGTCCCCTGAACCCAGAGGCAGGCACACTTAATCCGGCCACTAAGACGCAAAGCACTGTCATTGCCTTGGGGAGCTGGAGGGGTTGGGAAAAGAGCTTTGAAAATAAGGGTTAACAATGGATGCAAGACAATGGGGGGGGGGGGTGGCAGGGAGGTCAATGGGGAAAATAAGGAGACATGTGTACTACTATTTGTAATACTTTAAACAAAATAAAATAAAATAAAAAACTATCTTAAATATTTAAAAAAAGAAAAAAAAGGAGACATACGTAATACTCTTTGTAATACTTTAAGCAATAAAACAAAATTTAAAAAGAGAAGAAAAGAAGGGTTCATTTTACCAACGTTCAACCTCAAAATCCCCCTCTCCTTACTCTATAATTCTTTCCCCTCCGGCGCCCTCTCATGGCGGCGTTCCTCTACTCTTCGTAATACTCCAGTGAAACACAGCCGTTTTTAGCAGAATCAAGGGCCATCTGTTGAGCACTTAACACTGAGAAGTCCTGTGTGGGGATCTCATCCTCTCACCAGCTCTGCGAAAGAGTCTTCCCATTTAACAGATGATAAAATCAAGGCTCAGGCAGGTCTAAAACATAGGCAGGGATGCTCTCACACCCATGTCCCAGGCGAGGCTAGAAATGACTGGGGAGACGGACAGCCAACCCCTCCCCACCCCCCGCCCCATGTCTGAAGCAACGGGTGGGGTGGCCATTCTAGAACCTTTGAATATCACTGAAAATGAAAAATGCAGCCATGCCCCTACTGTAATCTTGCAGCAGTCATTGCTCTCATTCACCAAGAGCTTCCTATTGGCCAGGCATTATTCAACATCATTTATCTATGTTGTATATCGAATCCTCACGCACAAAAAAATCACCATTAGCCAGACTTGAGTCTTGTCCCCACTTTACAGAGGAGAAAACTAAGATACACAAAGGCCAAGTGCCTTCTCAAAAGGTGAGGAGCCAGAATTCAAATCCAGACAAGACGGTCCGGCTCTAACGTCCACACAAACCCCACGCCATGGCTTTTACCGCTGTCTGTGCTCACACCAGGGCAGAACTCTCCCCATGAGACTGAGAGCTCCTTGAATGCAGTGACCAAAGTTTATTCATCTTTTATTCATCTCACACTCACACACACTCACACCACACCCTTAGCTCAATACAGGGTACAGGGTAAGCACTCAATAAATTTCTAACTTCTTACATTAATTAACCCCACACATTTTTCTTTTATGTTCCTTTTTCTTAAATGAGAAATCGTGTATTATTTTGGTACCGTTTTATAGGCAAGAGGTTACCTCTCCTTTCCAATAGCCTTCAGCACTCATTAAAGAAATAGAGAGACAGGAAGGAAAGAAGGAAGAAAAGAAGGAAGGAAGGAAGGAAGGAAGGAAGGAAGGAAGGAAGGAAGGAAGGAAGGAAGGGAGGGAGGGAGGGAGGGAGGGAGGGAGGAAAGAAGGAAGGAAGGAAGGAAGGAAGGAAGGAAGGAAGGAAGGAAGGAAGGAAGGGAGGGAGGGAGGAAAGAAAGAAGGAAGGAAGGAAAGAAGGAAGGAAGGAAGGAAGGAAGGAAGGAAGGAAGGAAGGAAGGAAGGAAGGAAGGAAGGGAGGGAGGGAGGGAGGGAGAGAGGGAGGAAAGGGCGCCCACTTGGCCCAAAATGCCAGAAGCCATAACAAGCAGCATCTCCTCCAGACCCAACACTTCGGACCCCAGGAGGAAGTTTAGGAAAACAACGTTTGAGAGCATCTCCCCAATGATCAGAACGCTTAACGACGGGGCGCACGCCGAGGAACGCGTCACGTGTGCGAACATGGAAGCCTGCACTTACACAGGCCTAACGGTCCCGCCCACTGCGCCCCGCGGCGGCCTGGTGCGGCCTCCTGCATAGCATGTTCTGCACTGAACACTGTACGCAACTGTCACACAGCAGGCGGGAGTGTCTGCGTGTCTAAACGTGGAAAGAGCACGTGTGAGCAGTGTAGGTTTCACGCGGTGCACTTACCGTGAGTGCAGCTCTCGGGGCTGGAAGCCTGGCTGGACTGGCTTGGGGTGAGGCCTGGGCGATGGCAGACGCAAAGCCCGTGATGGGAGACGGGGTTCGGGAACCAGGGCACCTAGGGAGAGAGCCGGCTTCAGAGAGGAGCCAAGACAGCCCTGCGGACGCCTCCCCCTTCCTCCCTCATCTCGCCTCTAACCGACAGCCCTGGCATCTTCCCTCTTGACTCCATCACTAAACGTGGTCCTCTAACACCCCGCACTATGGATCGCGTCTACGGCCTCCTTTTCGTCCTGATTGCCCTCACTCACGTCTAAAGTATTACCAGTCTTCGTATCTATAAATTAAGATACAATATAGGGTTCCCCCCCCCAAAAAAAAATGTATACGCACACTTTGAATAATGCGAAAGGCAGTGTTTATGAAAATACATTTCACTTTCAAAACTGAACTCTCGGCTGGGGATACATTTGGGGGGGACGCCCTGCACCTTTGCTTCAACGTTCCAAACACAACCACGCTGAGCACCCGCCTGCTTGGATTAGCACAGCGGTTCTCAACCTTGGCTGCACATTAGAATCACCTGGGAATCTTTTCAAAATCCTGATTTCTGCAGGACAATCCATCTTTCTCCATCGGTCCCCTCTCCCCGTACCTCCAAGCACAACGTGAGGGTGCACACACCGTCCGGGGAGAAGGGGGATCCCTGAGGCCTCCACTCACAATTGATCTCCCCCAGAAGGCTGGTCTCTGCTGCCCCCCCTTAGCTGTTGCAGGCAGAGGCCTGGGGGCCCTGCAGAGCCCAGGGAATGGGGGCAGCGCAACGCAAAGCTTCCAGAAGCCACTGCAGCTGTGGCCAGCTCCCTCCAGACTCAACCCCAGGTCCCACGGCCACCAGATGTCCCTTCTGATCTGCTCAGTCAACAGGAACCGCCAGGACCCAGGGGCTGTGGCTCTTAGCAATGGCCTTCCGGCCCAACTTTCTTATGCTCCCACCTCCCCTTTCACCGGGAAACAACTCCTGTCCTCACAGCAGGTGGCCACGCTCCAGTTGTAACCTGTCCACTCTCTGGCCTCCCCCAGATCTGACCCTTATTTCAAGAACTCACTCATTTCCCACCTGCTCCATGGGCCTCCGCTGACCACCCGGCGTCCCGCCTCCCAACTGAGCCCATCACCTCGTCCTTGGGCATCTGGGATACTTCACATTATTCACTCATTCCCACCATCTGGGTAACCCAGTGGTTCTCAACCTTGGCTGCACATTAGAATCACCTGGGAATCTTTTTTAAAATCCTGATTTCTGGGCCTCATCCTCCGGAAATTCTGTTTCTTTGTGACTCATGTTGTGGCCCCACCCCATCACAAAGAAACAGAATTTCCGGAGGATGAGGCCCAGAAATCAGGATTTTAAAAAGATTCCCAGGTGACTCTAACGTGCAGCCAAGGTTGAGAACCACTGGTGTAAAGCGCTCCCTCCCACAGCTGTGGTCCCATTCCCTGCGGGCAAGAACCACGGCCTATCTGCTTCCCAGCAACACGCTAGTCACCAAAGAGAAAGCACTTTTGGAAGAAAAGATACTAAAATAAACATGTGTTGAGCAAGGCGCAAACTTCCATAGGACAAGGCGCTGGGAAGAGCTCGGATCTGAGCTTCAAGCCCGCGTACATTTTCAGCTGCGTAAGCAGAGGCAAGGTCATCCTGAAACACATCCCTAAACCGGGGCTGGTCACAGCTGCGGGGCAGGGTGGTTGTGAGCAGTCAGTGAGACAAATACCTAATAAGTCACCGAAGCATAGTGTGTCCTCAACAGCTGGTAGGGACTTTCCCCAGACACCCTGCCTGACACGGATGACACAGGCAACGTTGACAAGTGCCGTTCGCACCCCAAAGCCCCCAGATCCTGGTGCAGGGGGTGTGGCTCTCGCCGAGGTATGGCAGACAAGGTGACCTTTGACTCTAGGCAGTGATTCTCAACTCCGGATGAGGCCCAGAAATCAGGATTTTAAAAAGAGTCCCAGGTGATTCTAATGCGCAGCCAAGGTTGAGAACCACTGCTCTAAGGCAGTGGTCGGCAACCTCATTAGTCAACAGAGCCAAATATCAACAGTACAACAATTGAAATTTCTTTTGAGAGCCAAATTTTTTAAAATTAAACTATATAGGTAGGTACATTGTTATTAACTTAATGAGGGTACTCCTAAGGCTTAGGAAGAGCCACACTCAAGGGGCCAAAGAGCCGCATGTGGCTGGCGAGCCGCAGTTTGCCGACCACGGCTCTAAGGGGCCCTGCCACGAGGTTTGGGTCCAGGTGAGCCGCTGGCAAGCTGGAGATGGAAGTTCATTCGAGAACCGTTTTCTACCCGCAGGTGTGACCAGGGGGGGTGTTGGAGACGATCCCCCGGTGTGTGTCATTGCAGGAAGGCGAGTGTTCCAGCCTGAAGCACCTCTGGCCCTGGTTTAACAGCCCAGGGGTCAGCGGTCTGGCCTGTTCTCAACCAAATGGGGGAAGATGGGGCCTCACTCGGCCAGGCCTTGACCAGCAGGACCACGTGCCCCGTACATGTGGACAGGTTTCTAAACTGGCCGTTCGGAGAGCCACCCCGGGGATACCCAGGGGAGTCCACGGCTCTTTATAACCCATGAACATGTGCACCTGGAGATAGAGTATCTGTGTGTCTGTCCGTTGAAGTTGCAGTGATTGAACGAAAACCCACTGCACAGTCTGCCCTGCCCCGCCCCGCCCCGCCCCCAGACGCCTTCTCCTCTCGGGGTGATGAGCACTCCTGCTTCTCCCACGGGGCAGCCGAGCTTCCTGCCCACCAGGTAGCCCCCACCGAGCCTCCTGACTCCACCGCCCACCTACCTGTGACTTCCAGCAGGGACTCCCTTCACTTCCTCCTATGCCCCCTGCCTGTGATAAGACTCATCTTGCAGGTGCTGGTGAGCATTAAATTGGAGAAACCAATGTTCCCCAAACCCTAGTCCCTGCTTCATCCGTGATCGTTGTCATTACGTTATTCCAAGTCCGTAAACTCTTATCAGGATCCATTAAGGCCAGGAGGGACCAAGTCCAAACAAAATGAAAAAGGGATTGAAACGGTGGGAAGGGCGTCCGCCCATCCCCATCCGAGGCCCCTCTCCTGGGTCTCGCATTTCCTCTGCCTTCACCTGGGCCTGTCCGGCCACGTGATCTGCAAACCTGCTTCTGATGGACGTGAACGCCTTTGGAGCAGCCCGGGGGCCCTCTTGCAACCTCCCTGCCCGTTTTGTCCATGTTCCACACATGAGAGCACTGAGGCCCCAGGGGAACGACCCTCCCAAGGTCAAAGGGCTGGCTGGTGGCAGAACTGGAATGCAGGGCGCCCAGACCACAGCCACCCTTTCACCCGGTGCCTCCTCCCTCCCAGACCCACTCGGGGCCTGACAGCGGGGTCTACCTACGCGTCTGGAGGCAAGTGGCAAGGGTGCCTGGGAACTTGCATGGGGCCACTGAGTCCCCTTTACCATTGAGTGCGTCCCCCTGGAGCCTGCCCGTCGCCATGACAACACTCCTCTGGTCCTCGGTCCTTTCCCCTCCCAGGACTGCCTCCTGCGGACCCACACCCGGCTCACCCTCTAAGGGAGGAAACAACGGGATCCCTCTCCAAACTGGCGGCAAACGGAGGCTCAGAGGGGTGGCATCCCCGCCCAGGTGTGGGGCCAGGCTGCTCCTCATTCCTATTTGAGAGCCAACCGGACAATTAAAAGGGCCTCCACGTGACCACTGCCCACTTTCTCAACACTCATCACCGAGGCCGGCCGGGGCTGGATCCCAGGCCCGTGGCCCAGCCCAGCTGGCTCTCATTCTCTGGCTCCCCAGGCCAGGCCTGGCTGCGTGATTTCACCGAATTGTGTATTTTTAAAACCTGACATCTGTAGCCAGATGCCCGCAGGCAGGCACTGCCCTTTCCCGCCCGTCCGTCAGAGCGAGGAAATGGACCTGCCACGGCCGTGTGCGGACCTATTTGGAGAACTAAATCTCGCCTGTTACTTTATTTTTCACTGACATCAGTCGCTTCCACGCAGGCAGAGCCTCCTCTCGTGTGGGAACGGGGCGCCCCCTAGTGGCCACCCGCTCAACTGCAGCCACAAAAAGACATGAACATGGTCACCTTGGACCAAAGTGTTGTGCTCAGGGGAGAGTTTTGTTTTTGTTTTTTTGGGGTTTTTTTTGTTTTCTCATCGGGGAGAGTTTTAACACTCATTCTTCTTTCCTCACGCAACAGGGCTTGCCTAGCAGTGTCAGATGTATCTTATTGTTAAGATAAATACGTTAAGACGCGAGGCTCCAGAAAGAAAGCTGAGTCCCTTACCCACTGGCGATCGGGGTGTCATACTTCCCCACGCCGGCGGCTGTCATTTATAAATGATGAGCTCGGGAGAGGAGAGAGCGCCTTCCAGGTGGATCCCAGAGAAAGGCAGCCCTCCCCGGGATCCCCCCAGCACCTCTAGGGACCAAGTCCCAGCCGTACTGTCACCTGCAAGTCAGCAGCTGCAAAGTCTTCTGTGGCCACGGACAGTGGAGATGGGGCGCTGCAGTGCCCCCCGCCTCCTCCCAGTGCAAGAACCCAAACCGCCAACCTGTTACCAGCCCCAGTGCTGGCCTTCCTTCGAGCTCCCCGTTCCTTTCCGGTTTCTAGAGCAGGCTTCCCCACCTGGCACCATTGCTTGGCTAACCCTTTGTTTGGGGAGGGTCCGCTCTGCACGCTGTGAATGTTTAGGGGCAACCCTGGCCTCTACCCACTAGATGCCAGAAAACCCTTATCCTGCATTAAGACAATCAAACTATCTCTAGACATTGCCCACTGCTCCCCGAGGCTGCAAAATTACCTCCGGTGGAAAACCACACTTCCAGAAGCCCAGGACACAGAAGTGTAAACATAATAATGCCAAGAGCAACTACTACTCCTGTTGCTACCATTTAAAAGGGCACAAAAAGCCCTGGCTGGTGTGGTTCAGTGGATAGAGCATCAGCCTGCGGACTGAAGGATCCTGGGTTCGATTCCGGTCAAGGGCACATGCCCAGATTGTGGGCTCGATCCCAGTAGGGGGCGTGCAGGAGGCAGTCGATCAATGATTCTCTCTCATCATTGATGTTTCTCTCTCCCTTCCTCTCTTAAATCAATAGAAAATATATATAAATTTTAAAAAAAATAAAAAGGCACAAAAAAAGAAATAATAAAATAAAAAGGCACAGATTGTGCAGTAAGAGCTTACTGTCATTCTCTTAGTTCATCTTCACGACCAAGGAACCAGTCTGTGTGGACTCCCTAAGGAAATATTTATCTCAGAGATAAAGACACAGAAGCTCAACGATTGTCAGGTAACGAGACCAAGGTCCCCAGGCTTTCCTGACTCCAACACCTGAGCTTGTCACCACTTCCAGAGCCTGGGGCCACCGGTCACCAATGTCTCCGGGACAGTCGCAGTTCTCGACAGCCCCTCTAGAGCAGCGGTCGCCAACCTTTCAGACCTTGCGGACCAGCAGTGTTCCACGGACCACAGATTGGGGACCACTGCTCTAGAGCATGCTAGCGCTGTTCAAATATTATATCCAGATTCAGGTTTAAACACGCAAGCACAGTCGCTATCCTCTAAAATCAACCCAGAGTGTCAAGGCTGAGGACGTTTGGTTGCAGGGGGAGAGAGAGAGCCCCAAGTCTGAGTTCAGACCCTGTGGCCAAACATCGCTTGCGTGGCCTTTACTTTGGGTCCATTATTTAGGCTCTTGAAGTCTGTTTTTTCATCTACAACAAGCATGTCAAACTCATGGCCCGCGGGCCACATGCGGCCCACAGTGAATGTTTTTGCGGCCCAGCCAATATAACAGTATGTGAGAAATGTTTCGATAAAAAATTTTGTAACTTAATCTTTACAATGTCTGTTATACATAATTATTAATAATGAACTACAACGTTCGCTAATGACTGACGACTATAATTGTGTTGCGTTCATTTCCCTTACGTGCCTTACGCGCAGGCGCACCATTTCTCTCCGCTAATACCAGCAGCAAATATTTTAGCAGCCGATGGCCACGTCATTCATCCTGGACTGACCTGTTTGGTGTGCGCAGAGGGAAAGATTTCGCTTCCGGAGAACAAGAAAAATAGGTTCATTTTGCATTATGCTTATTATTTTGTGCAGTTATTCAGTGTCTGGTAAGTTAATGTTCAAGAACAAATATTTTTATTAAAATGTTCTATTATTTTATGTGAACGATGACTCGTTTATTTCAGCCCTTTGGATGCAGCGTGTCTCTATCGAAATAAACCCTACGTTTCTATGAAAACCGAAGCTTTTGTGTGTTTTTTTGCGGCCCAGATACACTTACATCTTGTTTACTTGGCCCGTGTCAGCCTTGGAGTTTGACATGCTTGCTCTACAAGATGAAATGGACTGGTAAGATCCGGTTCTCCACAGAATACCTTGAAGAGCATTTATAAAGGAATGCCTAGGCCTCCCCCCACGCCAATTAAACCAGACTTTCTGGAGCCTGGGCAATGACCTTCTTTTAAAAGTCCCCGGGTAACTCACATGCAGCCAGAATTGAGACCCATGCAACCAGATGAACTGTAAGACCCTCCAGCTCTGTGTTTCTACCTTAAGGCCCCACCCCCTTTAGGCTGGAGGTCTTCTTGCCCTTACGTGGCCCACTAGGAGCTCTGCTGGGGGTTGGCTAGTTTCTCTGGCTCATAAGATTGTCCCCAAAGTCTTGAGCAATTCTTGGGACACCCTCAGTGCCTCGACTGTCCTTCTGACCCTGAACTAGCCATTGCCAGCATCTCCTTCTACCCACCGGGCGTGGAAACCCCGCCCCACTGTCAGGGGAAGCACCTGACGGAAGACAGCTGCGTCCCCCGAAAAGACTACCCTCTTCCCGCCTCTGTCCGGCTTCAATCAGGTTCATTCTAGCCCGCGGTCTTGCGGGAGGTGAGAGAAGCTCTCCTTTCTGAATATGACTCAGTGCTCCCAAAGCTATGCTGCTAACATCTCACTCAGCCGGTGTCTGGGAGGGGCTCTGGCTGCAGAAATCAGGGTTTGGGCACCTGCAGGCCCCATTCTTCACCTCTCCCTCTGCCTCCTTCACCACCCCCATCTCTGTGAGCCACCCTCCTGCACTAGGAGGGCTGCACACAATACTTGTAGGCGCAACTAGGAATAAAAATAACTTACACCAAGGACTCCCCAGACGCCAGGCTCTGTGGGAAGTATTTACACACATGGTTTCAGTGGTTCTTCTCAGGCACCCACAGGTGATGATGGTGTTATTGCAGTCGGTTAGCATCCTCCTCCTCATCGTCACTGGCTGAGGTGTCTACCCTCTCGATGCCTGCTCCCAGCCTGGAACACAGCAACTCCACATTAGATAAGATCAACGTCATCGAAACTGAATCCCAAAACCGAAAAGCAATCAGTTGTTTCCAACATTCTCCAGGACAGACCACATCTTAGGTCACAAAACAAACCTCAGCGAATTCGAGAAGATTGAAATCGCATACTGGACACCAAGACCATGGCCCTCCTAATGCTGAAGGGCGCCCCAAGGGTGCTGAAAACACGGCAGGGAATAAAACGAACACCCCTGACCTCGAAAAGAGCCGACATTCCAATAGGAAGAGACAGAAAGAGAATAATAAACACAGAAAGCCCATCATCTCGTGGGGAAGAGGGCTAAATAGAATGGGGAGGGGACAAGGAGGCTGGTGCAGCTTGGAATAGTGGGTGCAGAAAGGTCTCCTTGAGAAAGAGAATGTGAGGAGCAAAGGCTTGAAGGAGGTACAGCAGAGAGGCTTGTGGGCCACTGGGAACACATGCTCTTCTTCGTTCTCTCCTTCGTGCAGGGATGGATCATGCCGTGGCCACAACTTCATTCCTTTGGTAAACAGTTCATTAAGCAAAAGGGAATGAGGCATCCTTGCGTGATCCCAGGCATTTTTTTAAAAAGAATAGGAGTGTGTTGAATCAACGAACTCACCCATAACCAAAAACTTACTCATGAGAACCAAAGACAGGCCCCATAACTCCCCTATAAGTATGGATACAAGTTGTCCCAGAAACCACAGAGCTGTACTACGACCTAGAGGTAACCAGGCCATTTAACTTTTGCATCTTCCCTTCCAGCCTCTGTCGTTTCGCATCACTTACCATCGGTATGAGTCAGTGTTCTGTGATCCTAACCTTAAGACGCTGAGATTCGGGGTTGTTTTTTTTTCTGCTTATCCTGGGGCAGGCATTTTTCCTCTGGCCTTTCACAGTCTCCAAAGCCATCATTGTCGACACGGGTGGGATGCATGGGGTCGGTCCATCTCAAAAGCCTGCCAGCTACAGCAAGGCTGCTTCCAATGTCCTTGAATTACAGTCTCCCAGGTAACAAGCGGGCTCCATAGCTCAGTGGTTAGAGCACTGGTCTTGTAAACCAGGGGTCGCGAGTTCGATCCTCGCTGGGGCCTTTTGCTGGCGCTTTTTTCTTTTTTTTTTTCTTTTCTTTTTCTTTTTTTTGGTCATTATCTCGCATAAACACAAAACAGAAACTCCAAAGCGGAAGAGTCACCTCTGCCAACGTTACCCGGCACGATGAAAAGTGGCTCCTCCTGAAACGCCAATGACGGGCGCTTTGGATGTGACGCGGAAGAGAACACGCTGGGCCGCAACAAAGAACAGAAAGAAAAGGGAAAACAAGAAGAAAAAAGAAACCGAAAAGCCATCCTCGGCGACCGTGGCGCTCCCGGCACCTGCGGGCCCGGGCGCTGCAAACGGGGGCCGCCGGGCTCCGCGGGCGCGTTCGCAGCGCCTGGCAGCCGGCGCCCCGCGTGCGCGGCGGGAAGCGGAGGGGCGTGCGCCGCGGGAACTCGGGCGCGGGCGGCGGGGCGGGCGGAGGGGGCGCTGCGCCTGCAGTTCGCGCGCGCGGCCGGCAGGTGGCGCTGCGGCGCCGGCTCCCGCTCGCCTCTCCCCACGCCGGACCCGCACCCGGAGCGTGGCCAGCGCGGCTGTGGCCGCCACGTGGCACCCCGGCCTCGCAGCCCAGCCCGGATCCCGGGTCCGGCCCCGATCCAGAGGGAGGGGGAGAGATTCCCCCAAAACAAGCAGCCCACGCCGCTCGGGAAGCCAGTGCCTGCAGCCACCCTCATGCCCCCGGTTCCCCCTGAATTCCAGAATGCGCGTGACTGCAGAGCCTTGAGCGTCTTTTCTGAACTCATGAGTGGGCCCACCCACGACCTCCTCCCCCCCGCATCCCGGGCTGGAGCGGGATGAAGGGCTGTCTAGCCACGTGTGGCCTTGAGGCCTGAATCGTGGCCAATCCGGATGGAGATGTGCAGAGCATAAAACACAGCCCAGACTCGGAAAACTTAGTTCCAAAATAAAAACGAGTAACGTTTTCACTGATTATGTGCTGAAGTGCTAATATTGCAGATAGAGTGGATTACATAAAATATAGTTACTTCCATTGTACCGAGCTGTTTTTTAAAATGTGGCTAACAGAACATGTTAAAGGAAGTACACATGCGGCCCCTGTTTGCAGCTCTCCTACTGCTGCAGGTGTACGGAGTGAGAGCCCGGTGACCTTGAGTTCAAGTTCATTTTTAACCAGGAAATTCTGGGGGAGGCAGAGGCCTCTGGGCCTCCCAAAGCCGGCACTGTGCCTGGCACGCAGGAAGCGTAGCACTGGCTGAAATGAAACCAAATACCTCCCCGACATAATTGTAAACTCCACAAAGGGCAAGAGAACATACTCTTTATTTTAAAATACATTTTATTGATTTTTTTACAGAGAGGAAGGGAGAGGGACAGAGAGTTAGAAACATCGGATCAGCTGCCTCCTGCACACCCCCCTACTGGGGATGTGCCCGCAACCAAGGTACATGCCCTTGACAGAAATCGAACCCAGGACCCTTCAGTCCGCAGGCCAACGCTCTATCCATTGAGCCAAACCAGTCAGGGCAAGAGAACATATTCTTTAAATTGACTGGCTTTGGGAGTGATGCATGGACCTTTATATGCCGTAAGCATCTGTAGACACAAGCGGCAGGTTTTTAAAAATTATATTCAAAATATTGTGGGGCGTGTGAGGATGGTTTCCGGGTGGGGATGGACGCGTGGCAGTTCACAGGTTCATCTTGGCTTGCTGGACTGCAGCTCTGCAGAAGCACACGCTGGGTGGTTATTTTGCCTTCCTGTGCGCAGGGTGTGTGCAGGGAGGTGAAGTGTCCCAAGGGCCGGGAGGAAATGGGTCCCACCCAGGCAGGAAAAACACCCCCACTTCTCACAGAAGGGGCAGCACTTCGCTGGTCCTGAATGTCTGTCTGCAAAGACATTTCAGACCCTGAATCACCCTGGGACAAGGACTACTTTCCCGGAACCTGCCAAGGGGGTGACCATGTTAGGGGGGAGCTTTCCTTGGAAAAGTCAGCACAGGGCTCCTCCTCCTAGACCTGGGGTATATGTGGCGTGAGAGTGAAATACGGTTCTCAGGCGAATGACACACATTGGGGCGATCAAGAGGTATGTGTCCTTTTGAGCAAATGCTGAGTTATTACCTTAGGCCGTAGCATTTACAAAACAAGATAGAGACTTGAGGCGCCATTCCAAGCAGTTTTGCAGACTAGCGCCAACAGCCAGGAAAGAATTTTAAAAACGAAGGGCTGCTACCCAGCTCGGTGTTCTGCATGTATAGGGTGTCCCAAAATTCACGCAAATAGTAATTTTGATAGAAAACACAGGTTTATAATTAAAAATTGTAAATTTTTTATTGATTCATAAAGTATATAGTATAGGGTTATGTATGGAATAGCATATCGGGTAAATGGCCTCCACAGCTCTGCTGGCACATGCGCACTCTTTTGTTGAAATTTTCCATGACCGTTTTGCATAAATGTGGCTGAATTTTGATGAGGCTCATTTGCATCCTGATGGCTTGGTTAATCGACAAGATTGTCGCATTTGGGGTTCAGAAAATCCACGAGTGATTGTTGAGAAACAAATGCATCCACAACGTGTCACTGTTTGGTGCGGATTTGGGGCTGGAGGCGTCATCGGACCATTCTTCTTCGAAAATGCGGCTGCTCAGGCAGAACAAAAGAGTGCACATGTGCCAGCAAAGCCGTGGGGGCCATTTACCCGATATGCTATTCCATACATAACCCTATACTGTATACTTTATGAATCAATAAAAAATTTACAATTTTTTTTATTATAAACCTGTTTTCTATCAAAATTACTTCTTGCGTGAATTTTGGGACACCCTTTAATAAACAAGCCCTGGCTAACATGGGAGTCAGTACGGACAGTACGAATGGAGTGTGGTCTTTGGAACTCGGCTAAAAGCTAGCAGTTGTGACCTTGGGCAAGTTACTTACTCTCTGAGGACCAGACTTCCTTCCTTGGTAAGCGAGGGATGATTCAGAGGATTTGTGGTGACGCCATGACGAAAGGTAAAGCCCAAGGTGCTTGGTAAGTGTTGTCAATTATCGATCACGAAACTGGCTTCAATTTTCACGGACCTAAAGCAATGTCAGTTGTGGATTCTCACTGCCCTTGCTGTGCAGTTAGTGTGCGCATTTGACACAAGGCTGGCCCCTTGCGGTGGTAGCTGTAACTTGGTTATGCTGGTTCTGTGAGGCACCTTCTTGTCTCAGATGTTTATCAGAAGGTTGGGTTCTTGTTTGTTGATAGTCACATCTTGCTAAATATAAAATATTGAAGGAAATGACTGACAAAGCATAGTATGTCCCCCAATTTTCTGGCAGACAGTTTAAAATTAGTGGGAATATAAGACAAGGGGGGAAATACATGGTTTGCCATCTAAATATTGGATTTTCTCTGAAGTCAGTGAGCCTTCACACAACTCAAATACTAGTTATGTGAACAGTAAATGTGTGAGAGCCAAGACAGTTTTGAAGAAACACTCACTCTACCACGTTTTGCAAGACGTTATAAAGTTTAGCTCATACCCCAAGCTTCCCCACTGGGCCTACTGTGTGACTGGGACACTATTTCATTTCCCATCAGGCCTACTGTGTGACCCTGGGACACTATTTCATTTCCCATTGGGCCTACTGTGTGACCCTGGGACACTATTTCATTTCCCATCGGGCCTACTGTGTGACCCTGGGACACTATTTCATTTCCCATCGGGCCTACTGTGTGACTGGGACACTATTTCACTCCCCTTCAGTTCTACTGTGTGACCCTGGGACACTATTTCATTTCCCATCGGGCCTACTGTGTGACCCTGGGACGCTATTTCACTAGCTGTCTCCTCCCCCGTCCAGCTGCCTACTGCTGTACCTTGTTTCCCAGGGAAAGGGGAGGACTCAGGAGCTCCAAAGCATGGCTAAAGATTGCTGTGCCGATAAAGAAATAAATGCAAACAAGCCTAGAGCCTTCTGAAGCTAAGCCAGCGCCAGCTGAAACCAGCCAGCCCTTCCACCTTCTCTGACCCAGATTCCTCTCCTAGAATCAGGTCACTCAGCCCCAAACTGTCCCGTGTTAACACCAAAGGAGAAAGAGAGTCCTTTTCTAGATCTTTCTTGGTTTCCAACGTTTCTCCACGGAACTCATCACCAAAATATTTGTCATGATAGTAAATCCAACATGGATCACTTAGACTCTGAAATAAGAATATGCATTCATTTAACAGCCCCACAGTTATGTCTTACTGCACAAAGTCAGGCAAATTATCTGCAAATAACAATAACTGCTGTAGAGGTGAATTCTCTGATTAAATAAATATATATTTTATTTGAAAATTATTCCTTAATAAATATATTTAACAGTACAAAAAGGAAATATATTTATTTCCCAAGAACAAAGGTAGTGAGACTGTTTCTCCAGCTATAACTACTAGTAAGAGAAAATATAAAGATATATAAAAATAACTTTTTTGCAGCCATATAAAACTACCTTCTTAAAACACCAAATAAATAAGTACATTCAATAATTATCCATTAAGCTACGACCCTGTAGCTACTAATCTGAAATAACTAAAATTCAGTATCAGGGTCCTGGATTTACAATACTGTGTTTTTTCACTAACTTCTTCATCCGCTTAAATTTCTTCCTTAAGTCTTGATGATCTTGTTTTGAAATATACCGAAAATATCTACAACCTAAAAAATAAATAAAACAAAGCAAAATAAAGAAAAATAGTTTTAATACTTATCGAATCCTTCAAATATACTTGTACATTTTTAGCTTTGCTTCATTCCTGGCATATTAATGATTATGGAAACAGAGCGAGTTTTACTGTCTATACCAGTGATGGCGAACCTTTTGAGCTCGGCGTGTCAGCATTTTGAAAAACCCCAACTTAACTCTGGTGCCGTGTCACATATAGAAATTTTTTGATATTTGCAACCATAGTAAAACAAAGGCTTATACTTTTGATATTTATTTTATATATTTAAATGCCATTTAACGAAGAAAAATCAACCAAAAAAATGAGTTTGTGTGTCACCTCTGACACGCGTGTCATAGGTTCGCCATCACTGGTCTATACCAACATACCTAAGCACACTCTCAGAGCATCGCCAATGAAATGTACTGCTTGCTACAGATGTTTCTGGTCCATCAACATTAAAGAGTCAACTTTAGCTGGTTTTCTAAGCTGCCTCCCACACCCTTACTTAGGTGATATGCATATTATATGCATTCATATATTAAATGAGCCTTCTCCAAAAGCAAATTATATTCTAGATTCCTTCTCTTTTTTGTTGTTGTTGCTTTTTAAATATATTTTTTTATTGATTTCAGAGAGGAAGGGAGAGGGAGAGAGAGACAAAAACATCAATGATGAGAATCATTGATCTGTTGCCTCCTGCACACCCCTTACTGCGGACCAAGCACACAACCCAGACATGTGCCCTTGACCAGAATCGAACCTGGGACCCTTCAGTTCCCCCGGCCAATGCTCTATCCACTGAGCCAACCGGTTAGGGCTAGAATCCTTCACAAAGTTAGCTTGTAAAAGCAGCGAAAGAGGTATCTATAATAATAAGTAAGTTATCTGTAGAAAACCTTGATGCAAAGCATTAGAATAAATAAACCATTGGTTAGATCAGGAATTATCTAGTCATTCTAACCACCTAGCAAGTAGCTGGATGGTGGTCCTATAACTCTGCCAAGGGTGCCTGGTGCCCATCTGAAGTTCTGCCAGGCCCTCTTGCCCATTTAAATATCGGATTGTTTATTTTTGTTGTTGTTGGGTTGTATACATTCTTTATATATTCTGGGTATTAGCCTCTATCAGGATTGTTTGCAAATACCTTCTCCCATTGAGTTGGCTGCCTTTTTATTTTGTTAATTTCTTCTGCTGCACCGAGTTTTTTAGTTCGATGTTGTCCCACTCATTTATTTTTGCTTTCGGGGTCAAGTTCACAAAATCCCCTCTGAGACCACGGTCCCTAGTTTAGTACCTATGTTTTCCTCTATGTATCTTACTGTTTCGGGTTTTATATTCAAGTCTTTAATCCATTTTGAGTTAGCTTTTGTGTATGATGTCAGACAGCAGTTTACTTTCATTCTTTTAACACTTGGCTTACCAATCTTCCCAATACCATTCATCGAAGAGACTTTCCTTTCTCCAGTGTATGTTTTTGGCTTTTTTGTCAAAAATGAGTTGCCCATGTATGTGTGGATTTTGGGGCTCTCAATTCTGTTCCATTGGTCTGTGTGTCTATTTTTCTGCCAATACCTTACTGTTTTGATTACTGTAGCTTTGTAGGGTAATTTGAAGTCAGGGAGTGTGATACCTCTGGCTTTGCTCTTTTTTCTCAGCATTGCTGTAGCTATTTGGGGTCTTTTGTGTTTCCATACAAATTTGAATTTTTGTTCTACTTCTTAGAAAAATGCCACTGGAGTTCTGATGGGGATTCTATTCCATCCGTATCTTGCTTTAGGCACCATGGCCATTTTAGCTATGCTAATTCTTCTCATCCATGAACACAGCGTATCTTTCCATTTCTGTGTCTTCAATTTCTCTCAACAATCTCTTGTAGTTTTCTGTGTATAGGCCCTTCACTTCCTTTAAGTTTATTCCTAGGTATTTTATCCTTTCCATTGCAACTGCAAATGGGATTGTGTGTTTTCCTCATTTCTTTTTCTGATGTTTCATTTTTAGTATACAGGAACACAACAGATTTCCGTACACTGACTTTGTATTCTGCAACCTTTACTATATTTATTTATTGTTGTGAATAGTCTTTTGGTGTAGTCTTTAGAGGACCCAAACAGACACTTTACCCAAGAAGACATATGGGAGAACCAAGATGGCGGCATAGGTTAACGCCGGAGTTTGCTGCTCTGAACAACTACTTCAAAAGTGAAACCAAAAAACGGAAGGGACATCACCCAGAACCACAGGAACGCTGGCTGAGTGGAAGTCCTACAACTAGGAGGAAAGAGAAACGCATACGGACACTCAGAGGAGGCACAGTGCTGAAGTCAAATTCTGAGGTGCGGAGTGTGCGGAGCGGGCTGGCGGCGGAGGGCGCGGTTGGCGTTTTCAATCGGGAGGGAGTCGCAGACTCTGAGCTCCAGATACAGGCGAGTCTTTAGGGACCCAGACTCAAACGGGAGAAGCGGGACTGTCTGGCTTCGGTCAGAGTGAGTGCAGCTTTCTCTCTGAGCTTTGCAGCGGGTGCTGGGACTCAGAGAGGCAGAGCCCCTGGGGACAGGACTGAGAGCCGCCATAACTGCTCTCTCCGGCCCACCCTGTTGATCCTGTGTGACCCGCCCCGCCCAAGCCCTGCACACAGGCATTTGCCGAATAGCCTCAGGCAAACACCAGATTAGCACCTCCCTAGAGGACAGAAGTTCTCTCACTGCTGACACAGCTGATTCTCATAGCCACTTGGCCTGGAGGTCAAACCCTCCCTGGAATTAACTACAACAATCAAGATTTAACTATAAGACTGTGAACAAAGACCACTAGGGGGTGCACCAAGGAAGCATAACAAAATGCGGAGACAAAGAAACAGGACAAAATTGTCAATGGAAGATATAGAGTTCAGAACCACACTTTTAAGGTCTCTCAAGAACTGTTTAGAAGCCGCCGATAAACTTAATGAGATCTACAAGAAAACTAATAAGACCCTCGATCTTATATTGGGGAACCAACTAGAAATTAAGCATACACGGACTGAAATAACGAATATTATACAGACTCCCGACAGCAGACCAGAGGAGCGCAAGAATCAAGTCAATGATTTGAAATGCGAGGAAGCAAAAAACACCCAACCGGAAAAGCAAAATGAAAAAAGAATCCAAAAATGCGAGGATAGTGTAAGGAGCCTCTGGGACAGCTTCAAGCGTACCAACATCAGAATTATAGGGGTGCCAGAAGATGAGAGAGAGCAAGATATTGAAAACCTATTTGAAGAAATAATGACAGAAAACTTCCCCCACCTGGTGAAAGAAATGGACTTACAGGTCCAAGAAGCGCGGAGAACCCCAAACAAAAGGAATCCAAAGAGGACCACACCAAGACACATCATAATTAAAATGCCAAGAGCAAAAGATAAAGAGAGAATCTTAAAAACAGCAAGAGAAAGAAACTCAGTTACCTACAAGGGAATACCCATACGACTGTCAGCTGATTTCTCAACAGAAACTTTGCAGGCCAGAAGGGAGTGGCAAGAAATATTCAAAGTGATGAATACCAAGAACCTACAACCAAGATTACTTTATCCAGCAAAGCTATCATTCAGAATTGAAGGTCAGATAAAGAGCTTCACAGATAAGGAAAAGCTAAAGGAGTTCATCACCACCAAACCAGGATTATATGAAATGCTGAAAGGTATCCTTTAAGAAGAGGAAGAGGAAGAAAAAGGTAAAGATACAAATTATGAACAACAAATATGCATCTATCAACAAGTGAATCTAAGAATCAAGTGAATAAATAATCTGATGAACAGAATGAACTGTTGATTACAAATAGAATCAGGGACATAGAAAGGGAATGGACTGACTATTCCTGGGGGGAAAGGGGTGTGGGAGATGCAGGAAGAGACTGGACAAAAATCGTGCACCTATGGATGAGGACAGTTGGGTGGGGAGTGAGGGCGGAGGGTGGGGCGGGAACTGGGAGGAGGGGAGTTATGGGGGGAAAAAAAAGAGGAACAAATGTAATAATCTGAACAATAAAGATTTAATTTAAAAAAAAAAAAAAAAAAAAAAAAAAAAAGAAGACATATGGATGGCCAATAGATATATGAGATGATGCTCAACCTCACTAGCTTTAAGGGAAATGCAAATCAAAACCACAATAAGATACTACCTCACACCCGGTAGAATGGCCACTGTCAATGAGATAAGAAGTAGCAAGTGCTGGAGAGGATGCAGAGAAAAGGGGACCCTGCTGGTAGGATTGTAAATTCTTGCAGCCTCCATGGAAAACAGAATGGAGGCTCCTCAAACCATTAAGAATAGAGCTGCCATATGACCCAGCAATTCCTCTTCTGGGTATCTACCCCAAATATTTTTTAAGACACAATCATAAAGATATACGTATCCCTATTTCACTGTAGCATCATTCACAACAGCCAAGACACAGAAACAACCTAAGGTACCGCAGGAGGTGAGCTGTCTGATTCAAGAATGGTCAAACTTCGTATTTCAAAATCGTCTAGAAGAGACTTTTAGATAAAAAGAAAACACGTACCTTTTCCTAACAATATTCCAGCTACAAAAGCTTTCTCATAAGCCAAAGCTTTGTCCTCCTTCCAATCACTTTTTGCCCAAAAGGAGCTGAAGTGAAAGCCTGGCCACCAGTTTTTCCTGGAGTTCCACTCGTCCTGAACCCAGGCAAGGTGACTTCTGGAAAAGACAAAGGTCAACGTCGGAGACGGATCTACGCCGTCAGAACGGGGACTGAAGCAGAGCCTACGAACGATGACAGACAGACGTGTTCAGACCAACGCCTGAGTCTGGCAGTGGTAGGGCACACGCATGAAACCACGTCCGTCTGGTTCTCGTCGATCTCTATGCCCTATTTTCCGTTTAACCAAACAGCCAGCTCAGTATGGCGCAGGGGTTAATACCATAGACTCTGAAGTCAAAATCCTGATTCAAATCTCAGATCTTCCATTCGCTGTCCACGTGACCCCGGCCAAGGTGGTTAACCTCTCTGAGCCTCAGTTTCCTTGAGGGTATTAATGGCACCGGCTTATAGCATTGTTACTAGGGTTCAACGGGTCCAGCAATACAGCAGGCTCATGGAAAGCTCCCGGCAAATGTTCCTTAAATGTTAGCTATTATTACTACTTATAAGTTTCTTTAAAACCTCATTGTAAATTACATGCTGCAAAGAATTCCTATCCGGATGCAGATATTATCATACAAATGCATGAACACACAGGTCTGACAGCTGAAACGGACAAGGCTAAGGGCTCATGAAGGATTTAATTGAGCAAATACACATTTAGGACCTATTTGTGTCCTGTGGCAGAACTCCTACAGGTTCAACAACTGAATAGGACATTTCTCTGCCTTCAAGAATCTTACGGTCAGCAGGGGTTCAGAAAGGATTTAGACAGGGCTTTCGATCTGCAGAGTGGTTTACGTGCGTACATCAATGTAGAACACGAAAAACATTTTATAATCAGCTCTGTTCCATCCCCAGGATCAGGTCAGATCTAAAGCCTGAAACAGGTTCCCACTGATCATGAACTTCCTAACCAACCCAAATGGATACAATGAATTAAAGAAACTATTTATATATATATATATATGTATTATTGATTTCAGAGAGGAAGGGAGAGAGAGAGAGAGAGAGAAACATCAATGATGAGAGAGATTCACTGATTGGCTGCCTCCTGCACGCTCCCTACTGGGGGAATCTAGCCCGCAACCCGGGCATGTGCCCTTGTCCAGAATTAAACCTGGCACCCTTTAGTCCACAGGCCGGCGCTCTATCCACTGAGCAAACCGGCTAGGGTTGAAACAATTTTTTTATATCCCTTCTTCTCACAAAGTAAAAATGTGACACTAATGATGTTATGATCAAAGCCATCATTTTTGATTCCCAGCTCACAACGGGCTTATGAAATATTTGCTGAATGAATAACCTTCCATGATCTTATGAGGCCTTAAAACCCCACTGAAAACTATTGGAAACAGCTGGGAAGAAAGCTGCTTCCCATGTGATCTTAGAAAATCCCAAAGAGTTTTACAAGAGTCCAGCACGGAGTGGGAGTGACCCTGCCTCGTCCTGATTTCCAATTTGAAAACCAACATATTGGGAGGGCGGGGGTAAGGGGAAGAGATCAACCGAAGGACTTGTATACATGTATATAAGCCATACCAATGGACATGGACAACAGGGGGATGGGAGCATGAGTGTGTGTGGGGGGGAGGTTGGGGGTTAATGGGGGGGATGAGGACACATTTGTAATACCTTAACTAATAATAAAAAAAATAAATAAATAAATAAATAAATAAATAAATAAATAAATAAATAAAACCAACATATTCCCTAACCTAACAGTGGTACTTATTTTGCTAATGTAAAAAATAAATCTTGAGAAATTTTTGTATGTTATCCTTGTGACTGTTTGTGTCCTTGTTTTTTAGAAAGTCAGAAGAAAGCCGCAGAAAGGTGTGGCTCAGTGGTTGGGTGTCAACCCATGCACAGAGAGGTCACTGGTTCCATTCCTGGTCAGGGCACATGCCTGGGTTGCAGGCCCAATCCCAAGTAGGGGGCGTGCAGGAGGCAGCCTCTCTCTCTTCCTCATCCTTCCATTCTCTCTAAAAGCAGTAACAAATATTTTTTTAAAAAAGAAATCCAAAATAAAAATTGACATATTATCAGCTCTAATATTGGGAAATATTATTATTTATGCTGACCCAGTAATAAATACCATGCGTCTCTTACTTACCCCATTAAGATCTGTCTGAGATATTTTGCCAAATATTGCCAAGCAGTCAGGTTTTTAGTGCATCCAGCAAAATCTAAGACACCGAATAGTACCTCCAGCCCCAGTTTATGGTGCTCTTCTTTGTCTGCAATGGTCACAGCAATTAGGATTCACATAAGAAACTGAGGCACACAAAGCTAAAACAACATTTCATCAGCTGATACAATATTACTGAACGATAAGCCCTCTAATTTGCCTAAAAATGTAAAACAATTCATTGTACTCGTACTCTCCTGTGAAGAATCTGAAAAATTCAATAATTCAGTCCATGCTACTAAAGTCAGAATGTGGATTCTCATCTCTGAATGGGCTATACAACTGAATGCCTGAGTTAGGGGCATCCATCCCCACAGTCAAACACCCATGTCTAACTTTTGACTCTCCAAACCCTTAACTACTAATGGCCTACTGTTGGCCAGAGGTCATACTGATCACACATACTCTGTCTGTTATGTGTATTATATACTGTATTCTTACAATACAGTAAGCTAGAGAAAAGACAATGTTATTAAGAAAATCATGCCCGGCCAGTGTGGGTTGGTGGTTGAGTGTCGACCAATGAACCAGGAGGTCACGGATGGATTCCCCATCGGGGCACAGGCCCGGGTTGTGGGCTCGATTCCCAGTGTGGGGCGTGCAGGAGGCAGCCTATCAATGGTTCTCTCTGATCACTGATGTTTCTAGCTCTCTCTCCCTCTCCTTCCATCTCTGAAATCAATAAAAAAATATAGTTTTTTTTAATCATAAGGAAGAGTTACAGCATTTATTGAAAAAATCCTGCATGTAAGTGGACCCACACAGCTCAAACCCACGTTGTTTGAGGATCAACTGCAAACACCGAGAACATTGTTTAAAGCGCCTGCCCTGTGCGGGCAGGTCACACACTGTCTCCTACGAGGAGAGGGAATGAGACAGGCTCGCCACCTCCTGGACTTAGGCTGGCTTCTCCCTATGAAGCTACATTCTTCTCCGTATGGAGCTGCGAGGCAGCAGTGACTGCAACGAGGTGAGTTATATACACTCCAGCCACTTCTCCTTGGCCGACTGCTGCCTAGCATGCTACAGCAGCATCAGCAAACTTTATTTGTAAAGGGCCGGACAGTAAACGTGTAGGCCCGGGGTGGGCAACCCCTGGCGCACGTGCCAAACATGGCACGCCAGTCACTTTTGCTGGCACGCGAAACCCTCTCTTATAATCTCCCATTTACAATGGTGAATCTTTGTTCTCAGTGATGAATTCTGTTAAGTCTCGTAATAGTAGCAGCCTGACGGATGAAAGTAGTAGCTCGTGCATATCTCTGAAGGTCACGAAATAGAAACCTGATGTAAAACCTCTGTCATCAGTGATGCGGCAGCAAAAGTCCCACTGATAATATCAAACAGAGTCATAAAGTTTTCTGTCGGACTATCAGTGTACATGTATACATTAAAAAATAAATGTATTTTTCATCATCGTATACTGTGTTTTTGTTGCTTGAATGAATTTTATTATTTCTTCAAGGTTCTTCACATACGTACACCTTAAGAGATATCAAGTAGGCGTCACATGTTCTCAAAAAATTAGGGTTGGCACGCAGAAGAATTTTGAGTCAGAGATTTTGCTGGTTTTGGCACACACTCACAAAAAGGTTGCCCACCCCTGATGAAGGCTTTGTGAGCCCCGTGGTCTCTGTGCTGCCGCAGTGCAAAAGCAGCCACGGACACCAGCGACACCACGCCAGAGCACGGCGTGGCTGGGCTCCAGGACTCAGATCGGGTGAGCAATGGATTTGGCCCAGGGACCTTGGGCTGCTGACCCCCTCGTCCACGGCGTGTCTGCCCACAGGGATATAAAACACACAGGACTCACCTGATTTCCTCAGTAACCTATGGAATTCTAACATCAGTGTATGAGACGGCACAATCTGATACAAAATCTGGAAGAAAGGATAATCTTGTGATATTTGCACATTCAAAAGGCATTTCTCAAATGTCAGCTTACTTTTCAAATAAATAAAGCTCTTACTCTCGAATAGCCCTTCAGTGAATGAATCATTGATTTAAAAGATACTTAGCTTTTATCCAGTTTCAATTCAGAGACAGAGAGGATTCTCTGTAAAGTTATTGTTTAAAAATCACTGATAATAACTAGATAATCAGAGGTGTAGGGGAAACAGATGGAGGCTTTTTATTTTCTCCTTATACATTTTTTATACTGTATACCACACATAAAAATTAAATTTCTTTTCAGAAGTCAAAACTGAGAGAGAAAAAAATAAAGGAAGAAAACTATTTCACACAGGCCCAGCCAGTGTGACTCAGTGGTTGAGTGTCAACCCATGAACCATGAGGTTCCCGGTTCGATTCCCGGTCGGAGCACATGCCCATGAGGCAGGCTCGATCCCCAGTAGAGGGCGTGCAGGAGGCAGCGGACTGATGCCTCTCCCACCGATGTCTCTATCTTTCTATCCCTCTCCCTCCCTCCCTCTCCCTCTCTAAAAACCAATTAAAAATCTTTTTTAAAAAATCGATACCTTAAGCACACTTATCAGTTTCTCTCTTGGTGCCTTCTCCCTCTTCAGGAAGTTGTACAAGTAGACGTGCGCGTTCGGGTTGGATGGGAACTTTTCGTCGTAGGCATAGTTAGTGAGGACCTCTCGGGCCCCATCTTGATCCCCATAGAATTCCAGCATCTATAGAAAAAAACATAGTATCTTGGCTAAATTCTGTCAGACATGAAAGATAACGCACAAGTTAATGATGGGCACAAAAACGTCATAAAACTGAAAAAGAGCATTTGCGGTGAGGGGTATGGTGGTCACGGCCGTTTCTGCTCTCCCCAGCATGCTACAGCCTCTGGGGAGGGCAGAGGTCACTTACAACAAAGGCCTGCTGGCTTCCCACTGTATCCTCATCCTATTTGTTACTGAAAAACCCAACAACTTCACATGAGAACTGTCCCTGTAAGGAATGAAGCGCTTACAGCAGAGCACTCTGGGCTGGAAAGAGAACACAGGACATCACCCGCCTCGATGCCCTGCGTAACGTCAGCCACAAAAGGGGTGCGTGGGAAGTGCAGTCCCTTTCATCCCACTCCAACGTTACCCGGAAACTTCCGGGCTCACCAGCATCCGGTCTCAGAGATGCTCTTAGATGCTCAGTAGAGGTTAGCACTCATGAAGCATCACAAAGCCAATTAGTGTGAGGACTTATTCGGTGCCTCGGGCCAAGGCCCCTGTCCTTCTGTCATGACTCTGGGGTAAAAGCCGTTATTCTCCATCCGATATATCGTGACCTAATTTCAGATTTCTGTCCCCTTCCGTTCTACATCCCATCGAGTCATAAAAGATCTTTCTGCTTTTCTTTTAAGCTCGATAAGAATAATATGGAGTTGGCATTTACAACTATATTGTGATTTATTTTATAAATATTTGGCTATGACATGTTATCCAGCAGTAAAAACAAAGAAAAGTAACAGTTACAGTATACTAGTGAAATAAACAAAAAATGTTCAGACCAAAAAGAGAGACATTTTTTTTAACAATTTCTAAATATTCGTTTCCTTCTGATAGTAAAAAGGACACTGATAAAACGTTATGAAAAGTCTACTTACCTCTACATAGCTCTTCACAAAAGGGTCCCAAACGCCAGGCGTCTGAACCAATGCAGAGAAGCTGACGGACGTCTTCCAGCTGTGCTTGAACATGTTCTGAGATGCTGTGCTGTAAGCATAGTCATCCTCATCTAATCAAAGATCGAAGACTTTTAAGAATCACTCAGAACTGACCGCAGAATCAGCAATCCGTAACTACCCACAAGAAAAGCTCAGGTCCTGATGGCTTTGCAGGTGAATTCAAACGTTGAAAGGATGAGACTGATTCTTCACAAACTCTTCCCCCCCAAAAAAAAGAACAGAGGGAACGCTTTCCAGCTCACTCTATGAGGCCAGTATTACCCTCAGACCCAAACCAGACAAGGACAACACAAGAACATGAGGGACCAATCTTTCTAGAGACACAGATGCAAATATCCTCAGCAAAATACTAGCAAATTAAAATCAGGACAGTGGTTGCCCTAACCGGTTTGGCTCAGTGGATAGAGCGTCGGTCTGTGGACTGAAAGGTCCCAGGTTCGATTCCGGTCGAGGGCATGTACCTTGGTTGCGGGCACATCCCCAGTAGGGGGTGTGCAGGAGGCAGCTGATCAATGTTTCTCTCTTATCAATATTTCTAACTGTCTATCCCTCTCTCTTCCTCTCTGTAAAAAGTCAAAAAAATATATTTTTTTAAAAAATCAGGGCAGTGGTTTTCTCAAGGCAATGGAAGGAGAGGCACAGGTGGGGGGCTTCATGGTGACAGCAATGCTGTGCCCCTTAACCTGGGTGGCAGGTACATGGATGTTTGTTTTGTAATTATTCATTCTACCACACATTTGTTTTATACATTTTTTTTCTGTCTATATCCCTTCCATTCTATATCCCATCAAGTCATTCAGCAGGTCCTCAAATAATACCTTGCGTTCAACGTCATTTCGTTATACTGTTGTTGATATGCTACAGGAACTTGACTCTCGTTTCTATCGATCCGCCTGTGGTAAAACTGGTTTCACCACATGTCATTTCGCTTATTAAAGTCACAGAACCTATCAACAATGTTAAGTGAGCACTTACTGTGTGTTATATTTCACAACCTTAAATGTTTAAAAGAAAGTTACCCAGTCTTTCAAAGGCAACAACTAACAGACGACCAAAATACTTTTTGGTACCAGTGCTACATTTTAACCAAAAAACTAACTCATCCTCCTCAAAAAGAGGGATTGGTATTCTCTCCCCAGTAGATCAACTGAATAGATATCAATATGGACTTGGAAACGAGGTGATAAGAGAAAGCAGGTAAGAAATGATACAGAAAACTTTTTTTAAAAATTGATTTCAGAAAGGGAGAAGGAGAGAGAATCATCGATCGGCTGCCTCTTGCACGCCTCCCACTGGAGATCAAGCCTGCAACTCAGAATCGAACTGTGGTTCATAGGTCAATGCTCAACCACTGAGCCACACCAGCTGAGCTAGAAAAACATTTTAAAGCAAAAAGGCAGATCCCTAAGTCTACGTTGGGTGTGAACTTCCTGTGGAAGGGGGTTCCCAGTCGCCAAGTGCATGAAATCCAACCAGGACAGGCCACCGCAGCAGCGAGGGATGGTTATGTGCTATGTCCTTAGGAGCTTAGTCATACAGAACTAGCCATAGGTTTTTTCCTGTTAAATAGACATTGGAGGCTGGAAGTCGTGTAAAGAGCTCCACGTGTCATCCCATCTTCACCTCCTGTTGCTACAGAACAACGAACGGGTCAGCTGTAGGAAGGGCCTGGACCATCTGTCCGTGGGGGAGATGGTGTCAATGCCAGGTTCCAACGGCTTCTGTCATCAAATATTTGCTTCAGTTCTACCTAACCACGTGTAAGAAAGTAAATATTGAACTGAAAACTTACCTAATCAACATCAGCAAGCCTGTTTATTTTTTTTAAAAAAATATCGCAGCGGGCATTGTAGCAAGGTGAACTGAAGAAACAGCAGACAGACACGGGACCTTGAAAGATGTGACTGGTGCAGACAAGGAGATACAACAGAAAACACACAGGGAAAAGCTTAGAGCAATTACAAAGCCAGAGGCAAAGGGTCCAATAACACAGGCTGCACAGGCGGCTGATCGATCGGGTCAAGTGTAAGGATAAGGGGTCTACTGAGTCCTGATGGGCAGAGGGCATTCTGGATAAGGGGATGGCATGAAGACCACACAAGATTATCACGATGAAGACCGTGCCTCAGAAGGGTCTTGGGAGAGGTCGGAAGTAGGAAGAGGGAAGGGAGTTCTGAGGTTAGTAAAATCACACGACCAGAGACCAAGGAAATACTACCTATCCCATAAGCATAAGGAGAAAACACTGCTACCACACATGAGATAAATACCATGACTGAGATTTGGATAGAAAACCAGAACATAAAAAGGAATGAATCACAGAAAAGCTACAGAGAAAAACTAAACAAGAGAAAGGAAATGAAGACAGCCTATAGCTTTGAAGAACACAGATGCGGCGCTAGCACAGGATGCCATCACCAGTGAAAAGAAAGAGAAAGGGAACTCAGTTTGAGACGGACACATGGTCAGTTTCTGGTATGATCCAGAGAAGTGTCTGTGCCCAGCTGGCGTGGCTCAGTGGTTGAACGTCGACCCATGAACCAGGAGGTCAGTGTGATTCCCGGTCAGGGCACATGCCCGGGTTGTGGGCTCCATCCCCAGTAGGGGCATGCAGAAGGCAGCCGATGAATAATTCTCTCTCATATTGATGTTTCTATCTCTCTCCCCTCCTTTCCTCTCTCTGAAATGAGTAAAAACATACTGAAAAAAAGGGAAAGAAAATGGTCTGTTATGACCTTTGTACAAAGATGAAACAACTTTATCTTGCTCTATTCTTTAAACATAGTATTCTGAGAAACAACATTATAAAACACACTAAACCCCATTATAAACCCACAAGAAGAAACACTTATGATATGCAAAGAAAATGACCACCTTTCCTGGAAATCATATTTAAAAACAGCAATGAATCTAAAATGGTCATCAACTTAATTTATGAATCATCTAAGTTTTGTCTGAAAAGGCTTTTGATACATCAATATATAAAAGATGATGGAGAATTTTACATCCATAGAAACATCTGCTCTCTGTAACATCTGGATAAAGCTCGGCTGGGAGGTCGGGGATTCGATTTACTCCTTAAGGTCCCTGTGTCCCTCTGACCCAGAATTATCCCCCACAGTTCACTGGTACCCACTCACCAAGCTCGGACAGTTCCTTCTTCTTCTTAGACCAAGTGTAATATTGCAGGAGCCCTTTATAGGCCTGAACGAGGTTGATTAACGCCTCCTGGGAAGACGACTTTTCACCGTATCTCCACGTCTCCGCCTGGCTGAGATTTCTGCTGGCGTCGTCGAACATCCCGTGATGCAGGAGGTACAACGCGTGTTGCAAGGAGATCTGCAACCATAACGAGAACATGCGCCATGACCTGTTGGGTGCTTAGAACACCATTCGTCAGGAAGCTCAGTAAACACAGGACGTATGTTGGGCCGAGATCTTGGCAGGACACAAACGATGTAACAACACTGGCCCCGTCATCCAAAATTTCCATCTAGCAAAGAGGGAAGAGGTGTGGAACAGCACAAGGTGGGTGAGAGTAAAATGATGTCAGCTTACAAAGAGAGGACCGTGTGATCTAGGGAAAGAGCCTGTGCCCTGGGGACAGACAGTCCTGGCTCAGATGCTGCCCCAAAGCTGCATCAACAGAGAGGAGCCTGGTGGTTGCCAAGGGCTGAGGGTGGAGGAGGCGGGAAGATGCTGGTCAAAGGGCACACATTTTCAGTTATGAGATGAGTAAGTTCCGGGGACCTAATATACAGCACGGTAGCTAGAGTTAATGACGCGGAATTGTATGCTCGAACGTTCCCGGGAGGGTAGAGCTTTAATGTTCTCACTGTAACAACAACACAATGGTAATTATGTGAGAGGAAGGAGGTGCGAGCTCACCTTATTGTGGTAACTCTTTCATGATGCGTTCGTGGATCAAATCATCGCACTGTACGCATTAGACCTACACAGTGATATATGCCACTTATATCTCCACAAAGCTGGGGGAAAACGATTTCACATATGCAAACCCCCAATTTGTTTAGTTCAATCCTTTTCCAAAAGTGCCGACTGCTAGAGAGCTCAAGCGACTTGAGCAAAGGATGAGAAGGTGGCCCCTCAGTCTGGGCAGCTCAAGACATAGAACAAGCAGGTATTTTAACTCAGAGGTCAAGGGAGGCGACAGGAAACAGAGAAGTAGATGGTTCTCACAGCACCGCTTCCTTTCAGCTTCTTATTTATCCACGTCCCTAACACTCTGTCTAGGCCAGTGATGGCGAACCTTTTGAGCTCAGCATGTCAGCATTTTGAAAAACCCTAACTTAGCTCTGGTGCCGTGTCACATAAAGACATTTTTTGATCTTTGCAACCATAGTAAAACAAAGACTTATATTTTTGCTATTTATTTTATATATTTAAATGCCATTTAACAAAGAAACGTCAACCAAAAAATTGAGTTCGCGTGTCATAGGTTCGCCATCGCTGGTCCAGGCCTTTTACCTGACCACTTATCTCACTGCTGAGACCAGCTGTTTTGTTGAAATGAACACTGCAAAGGTAAATTCACAAAGCCCGTGTTCTTACCGTTAAGTAATTCATGACGCCAATGTTTTTCATCCTGTCTGCAAAGGTATTAAAAGTCTCCACACTGCTTTTGGGGTGATAATAGAGAATTTCACTTCCGAGTTTCCAAATAATCTGTCAAAACAGAAATTACTAACAAAAATGTAAAATCTTTGCCTTAACCAATGTCTGCCTAAGAAAGCTATTTTTTTTCCTGATTATTTCATTCAAAAGCAACCTATAATTTCTTTTCCTAGATACCACCTCCATCAATATTTCACTACACTTCACCCAGTGAAACTACTATTGTATCACACGTGATTAAAACTTTCCCGCCGATTAAAATACCAGGTAACTATGATAGTGCCATTTTTAAATTAGTCGTCTAAAGAAGGCAGGCAGTTGAGATATGCACTGAAGATAACATTTTTAACTAACATAGGAGAAAAACCAAATGACAGCAATGGACTGGATACTTCCTGAGATCCCAGTGAGCTTTCTCAATACTGACTATGTGTAACCTACATTTAGGGCTCAAATCTAAGAATGTGTACCAGCTATGGACAGATTGAGAACCGCTGCCCTAGACGATTCCAATAGAGCCAAACAAGTGCCTAGAAAGCCCTGATCCAAGTGCCTCACTTCACAAAACAAACTCTGGACAAAAAGAGCCTGTGACTTGCCCAGTGATTTAAAGGTGCATGAAACCTTAGTCCATAAACTGAAGTTTCAATCAAGGGGAAAACTTTTTCTTTCAGATTGTTTTTGGCTCTATTGGATATCTAACTCATACACTGGTTACTGTAACCTGGCTGGCGTGGCGCAGTGGTTGAGCAACATCGACCTATGAACCAGGAGGTGACGGTTCGATTCCCGGTCAGAGCACATGCCCAGGTTCCACGCTCCATCCCCAGTGTGGGGCGTGAAGGAGGAAGCTGATCGGTGATTCTCGTTCATCATTGATGTTTCTCTCTCTTCCTCTCCCTTCCTCTCTGAAATCAATACAAATATATTTTAAAAAAATAAATAAAAGCTATTGGAGATTTCCAGGTGAAATTATTTCGGACAAACTGTTTTTTACTGAACAAATTTAACCATATATGCGAGGCACCGTTCCAGAGCCCTGCCCTACTGGAAATTACATTCTACTGTAGAGACACAGACAATAACCAAGAAACATAATAAATAAATTGGCAAAAACTATGGGAAACAAATGGAGTGGGATAAGGGGACCCGAGGGACGGCTGGAAGGTGGAGAGGGGTGTCCAGCGGCAACTGTAGTCACACTGGGCCCCGTTGAAAACGCTAGAGTGAGTCCTGAACACCTTTCCAGGTAAAGGAAACAGCTAAGGCAAAGGCAACCAGGCAAGTAAGAGCCTGTCCAAGTAAGAGAAGGAAGGCGGTGAGGATGCAGAGGAAAAAACAAGGAGAGTGACAGATGAGGTCAGAGAGAGGTCAGAGCGGGGAGGGCAGAGGGAAGACATGTAGAACACGCAGGCATCGGGAGGACGCTGGCTGCTACGTGCAGTGACATGGGAAGCCACCGGGTCTTCAGCAGGATCATGTTTTAAAAGGATCACGCTGAGGCAACATGTTCATTAGTCACAGAACTTGGGAGCAAATCAAAACCACCATGAGAGGGCACCTTCACAACCACTAGGACAGCTGCAATCAAAAGACAGACAATAACAAGTGTTGGCAAGGATGTGGGAACCTGGAGCCCTCCCACACTGCTGGTGGGAGGGTCAAATGGCGTCATCGCTCTGGCATAGCAGACGGTCCTCAAGAGTTTAAACCGCTCCCATGCGACCCAGCAATTCCGCTCCTGGGTACATACCCAAACATCCCGACCTCAACCTGTACCGAGTGTCCAGCAGCTTTATTCACAATAACCACAAAGTGGAAAGAATCCACACGTCCAACAACTGACGAGTGGACACATAAAATGAGCTATGATCTACATCAGGGGTCCTCAAACTTTTTAAACAGGGGGCCAGTTCACTGTCCCTCAGACCGTTGGAGGGCCGGACTATAGTTTAAAAGAAAACTATGAACAAATTCCTATGCACACTGCACATATCGTATTTTGAAGTAAAAATTTTCAATCGGGAGGGAGTCGCAGACTCTGAGCTCCAGATACAGGCGAGTCTTTAGGGACCCAGACTCAAACGGGAGAAGCGGGACTGTCTGGCTTTGGTCAGAGCGAGTGCAGCTTTCTCTCTGAGGTTTGCAGCCGGTGCTGGGACTCAGAAAGGCAGACCCCCTGGGGACAGGACTGAGAGCAGCCATAACTGCTCTCTCCGGCCCACCCTGTTGATCCTGTGCAACCCGCCCCGCCCAAGCCCTGCACAGAGGCATTTGCCGGATAGCCTCAGGCAAAGGCTAGATTAGCACCTCCCTAGAGGACAGAAGTTCTCTCACTGCAGACACAGCTGATTCTCATAGCCACCTGGCCTGGAGGTCAAACCCTCCCTGGTATTAGCTACAACAATCAAGGTTTAACTATAAGACTGCGCACAAACACCACTAGGGGGTGCACCAAGGAAGCATAACAAAATGCGGAGACAAAGAAACAGGACAAAATTGTCAATGGAAGATAAACAAAACGGGAACAAATACAATATTTGTATTTGCATGTGGCCCGCGGGCCGTAGTTTGTGGACCCCTGATCTACATAATGGAACATTGCTTTGCAATGATAAAAAGGAATGATGTACTAATACACGCTACAACACGGGTAAACCTTGACAACATTATGTACAGTGAAAGAAGTCATTCACAGAGGCCATACATTATATGGTTCCACTTACATGAAATCTCCAGAATAGAAAGTCCTAGATTAGTGGCTGCCAGGGGCTGGGACGAAGGGGGGTAGGGGGGTGGGGGGGTGTGAAGAGAAAAACAGGGACTGAATGCAAGTCCATAGAGGATTTCTTCTTGGGGAGACAAAAATGTCCACGTTTAGATTGTGGTAATAGTTGCACACCTCTGTGAATATCTATGAAAAAACCCTCAACTGTATACCACTGAAATGGGTGAATTGTATGGTGTGTCAATAAAACGATTTCTCACTCGCCCTAGCTGGTTTGGCTCAGTAGATAGAGCGTCAGCCTGCAGACTGAAGGGTCCCAGGTTCGATTCCAGTCAAGGGCACATGCCTGGGTTGCGGGCTGATCCCCCATGGGGGGCATGCAGGAGGCAGCTGATCAATGACTCTCAATGTTTCTATCTCTCTCTCCCTCTCCCTTCCTCTCTGAAATCAATAAAAATATATTAAAGTAAATAAATAATGAAACGATTTCTCTCTTCCTAAAATTATAAAAAGCGTCGCTCTGGTTGCTGTGCTGAAACCAGACCGGGAGGAAGAAAAGGGCAAACAGCCGTCTCAGTGGGATGGCCATGGCCTGGATCAGGGGCAGCCTGGTCACACCCCAGGGAATCTGAAAGTACAGCCAACGGGACTTTCTGATGGTTTGGAGATGGGACATGAGAAAAAAAGGAGGACTCCAGAGTCTGGCCTTAGCAGTTGGATACATAAAACCATCATCTTCTGAGATGAAGAAAATGTGGTGAAGATCAGAACCGTTTCTGCCAAAAGAAGCTGAAACTCCCGGGGATCGGTGACCTCTCCCGCAGACGCGCCCCTGCCTCACCTCGGGCGCAGCCTGCCTCTTGTGGCTGTCCGAGTCTTCCAGGATCTGGAGGCAGCTGTGCATGAACTCGGCTGCTCGCTGCCACTGATGCTTCAGCAGGGCTTCTTGGATGAAACTTAAACAGGCACTTGTCGTCTGAGCAAAATCCTTCTCCTTTTTCCCTCGGGTCGCTATAAAGATTAAAGAGAAGAGTCTTTTATGTATTTTTTAATATGTCTTTATTGATTTGAGAGAGGAAGGGAGAGGGAAAAAGGTAGAAACATCAATGATGAGAGAGAATCATCGATCGGCTGCCTCCTGCACGCCCCCTACTGGGGATCAAGCCCACAACCCGGGCATGTGCCCTGACCGGGAATCAAACTGTATCTCCTAGTTCACTGGTTGCTGCTCAACCACTGAGCCGCACCAGCTGGGCAAAGAGAGGAGTCTTTTACCCAGTGACCCCAATTCAACAGCTCAAAAACTTACTTCTGATAAGCATAAGTGTTAGCAAGTAGAACAGTGTATATTACCTTAATCTAGCCCATCCAAATATCAAAGCTAGCTTCACTGGAAACAAACTCTTCCACACTATTTTAACTAGTTTTAGCAAATGAAAAAAAAAAGTCTAATGTAGAGATGTGTAATTTGATGTTCTACCGAGTCAACAAACCCTTCAAATCTGACTCCATCACCCTTTCACTCTTGTACTAAACAATCTGAGTAGAATTGTCCAAGAGGGCCCCAAACACATAGTCTCAAGTCGTTAGAATGCGTAGAAATCATTAGGGCCATCCTGGGCAAGCAGGGCCTTTAGTACCTTCCAGTGTTCTGGAAACAAGAGGCGGGCTTTAATGTTTTTAAGGACTGAGTTCCTAGTAACTCAATGACATTAAATGCAAATTAGACTAAAACAGTTTTGTAGACAATAGCATTTAGATCTCTAATGAATTGACAATACTGCCCTGACCGGTTTGGCTAGGTGGATAGAGCGTCAGCCTGCAGACTGAGGGGTCCCAGGTTCGATTCCAGTCAAGGGCATGTACCTTGCTTGCGGGCACGTCCCCAGTAGGGAGTGTGCAGGAGGCAGCCTGATCGATGTTTCTCTCTCATCGATGTTTCTAACTCTCTATCCCTCTCCGTAAAAAAATCAATATATTAAGAAAAAAAAAAATAAAAGAATTGACAATACTCATATTAAGAATATTTGGAGTTAGTTACAACCCTGTTATAGGAGCAACTGGTTGCATGCTGCCACTCCTCTTCCCTTCCCATACCTCTAGGGGGCCCCTCGGGACCAGCCGTCTTTCAGCTCAGGCACCCTTACTCTGGGAGTACACAGACTAACAGGTACATGCGAACATAGTTTTAGAGCAATCAACTTTCTCCCGTACTCTTTCCTAAAATGGATCTCCTAGAGAACTGTGCCTACAGTCAAGGCCTCGTGAACAAAAGCAATATGAGTTGCCTTAAGGTGAAAACGGAGGAGAAAGTGAATGACTAACATATCCAGCACTTAAAGTCATTTGAGATTCAGTTTCCTCACCTTTAAAATGCCTAGCATCACCCTGGCCAGCTTGCCTCAGTGGATAGTGCGTCAGCCTGCGGACCAATGGGTCCCAGGTTCGATCCCGGCCAAGGGCACATGCCTGGGCTGCGGGCTCGATCCCCAATAGGGGGTGTGCAGGAGGCAGCCGAGCCATGATTCTCTCTCATCATTGATATTTCTCTCTCTCTCTCCTTCTCCCTTCCTCTCTGAAATCAATAAAGAAATATATTTTTAAAAAATAAATAAAATAAAATAAAATGCCTAGAATGTATATTTACAGCGGATTAATTTAGCCAATGTCAGGGATATAATAAGTGCTCAGGAAAAAGAAAAAGAAAAAGAAAAAGAAAAAGAAAAAGACATGTGTATCTGCCATAATACAGATATTATTAATTCAAAGGAAAAGAATTCTAAAACAAAAAAACCATCTATTTTTTTATTTCTTTTCAGCTGTAGCATAAGAAATTGTCATCTATTTATTCCTATGCTGAAAAGTGAACCAAGCTTAGTTATTCATGTTGCATTCATATGGGATCTTATACTCTCTTGCATGGAGGGTAAATGGCTGAATAGTATTTTACTTACCCACACTTTCTACTTGCTTTTGGAGCCAAGGAAGACACATTCCTGAACGAGGGCGGACACTGGTTTCTGCTGGGTCATCCTCTGGCGTGGGCCTCAGCAAGTCTTCGCTGAAATCACTCATACCTACTTCAGACCGAGAAGATCAGTTACTTTCTGCACGTCTTAATCCACAGTCTTCTGGGTTATACAGAAGAACAGACATTTCTTAATCTAGCAAATAACACTTGATCAGCAACATTAATTGTAGCCTGTAATTCCTTGTAAAAATATAAATTTGGGCCCTAGCCGGCTTGGCTCAGTGGATAGAGTGTCAGCCTGCGGACTGAAGGGTCCCAGGTTCGATTCCAGCCAAGGGCACATGCCCGGGTTGTGGGCTCAACCCCCAGTGCGGGGCGTCCAGGAGGCAGCCAATCAATGATTCTCTCTCATCACTGATGTTTCTATCTCTCTCTCCCTCTCCCTTCCTCTCTGAAATCAATAAAAATATATTTTTTTAAAAAAATAAAAATATACATATAAATTTGTCAGCAACAACCAAAATAAATGATCCATTCAAAAAAACAGACAAAAACTATGTTTCAAGAAAACACCAAGATAGATAAGATACCTGCCCCTTGGCCGAAACCGGTTTGGCTCAGTGGATAGAGCGTCGGCCTGCGGACTGAAAGGTCCCAGGTTTGATTCCGGTCAAGGGCATGTACCTGGGTTGCGGGCACATCCCCCGTAGGAGATGTGCAGGAGGCGGCTGATAGATGTTTCTCTCCCATCGATGTTTCTAGCTCTCTATCTCTCCCCCTTCCTCTCTGTAAAAAATCAGTAAAATATATTAAAAAAAAAAAAAAAAAGATACCTGCCCCTTGACTTAAAAAAGAAAACAACGCAAACCTAAAGGAAGAAACAGCAGCCCTGGTCGGGTAGTTCATTGGTTAGAGCACCCACCCAGTACACCAAGGTTTGGGGTTTGATCCTGGGTCAGGGCACAGACAAGACTCAACCAATGAATGCATAAATAAGCGTTAACAACAAATTGATGTTTCTCTATCCCTCTCAAATCAAATAAAGGTATATATTTTTTTAATTTTTAAAAATGTAGCTGAAACTGGTTTGGCTCGGTGGATAGAGCGTCGGCCTGCGGACCGAAAGGTCCCGGGTTTGATTCCGGTCAAGGGCATGTACCTGGGTTGCGGGCACATCCCCAGTGGGAGATGTGCAGGAGGCAGCTGATCTGTTTCTCTCTCATCGATGTTTCTGACTATCTATCTCTCTCCCTTCCTCTCTGTAAAAAAATCAATAAAATATATTTTTTAAAAAAAATGTAATAAAGGGAGAAACAGCAAAACAATGCATAATAACAAGACAGTACAATAATAACAGTAATAGTAGTAGTTAACATTTACTGGGCCCTTTTTATACATCGGGCCTATAAATCATCTAATTTAATCTTTACAGATACCCTGAAGTAAATACTATTATTTTCTCCCATCTTCGTGTTGGGAAAAAAACTGAGGGTCTTAGTGAAGAACCGTAACCTGGCCTGACGTCACAAGCAAGGTGAGGACAATATTCTATGAACCAGAACTTCAAACTACTTGGCCTGAATGGAGTTTGGGGTCTGTTCGCAGGACGGGACCGGAATGCAGAAGTGAGGGCGGGAAAGAATCTAGAAGGACAGCCCTAAGCCCAGCTGAGTCTGGACTTAACCCTCAAGATGCTCCCCTAACCGGTTTGGCTCAGTGGATAGAGCGTCGGCCTGCGGACTGAAGGGTCCCAGGTTCCATCCCGCTCATGGGCAGCTACCTTGCTTGCAGGTACATCCCCAGTAGGGGGTGTGCAGGAGGCAGCTGATCGATGTTTCTCATTCATCAATGTTTCTAACTCTCTATCCCTCTCCCTTCCTCTCTGTAAAAAAAAAAAAAAAAAAAAAAAAAAAAAAAAAAAAAAAAAAATCAATAAAATATTTTTTAAAAAGATGCTCAGGGCCCTCTCCCTCGCTCCCCACCCATTCCGATGGCTCGTTAGGTCCTGCTGACGGCTGCCTGCTGGCCCTTGAATCTGCCCCTTCTCCGCAATCCTGCGCCGGTACCCTAGCCAGCACCTTCACACTGGGTCCACCAGCACCTTCACACTGGGTCCACCAGCACCTTCACACTGGGTCCACCAGCACCTTCACACTGGGTCCACCAGCACCTTCACACTGGGTCCTGCTTCCGGCACTCGCTTTCCAACTAGTGGTCCCGCCTCAGATTCAGCCACTCCACGCCACTGCCTGCGTAGATCTTTCAAAACCAAGCTCTAGAGTCGGGAGCGTGGGCTTTAAATGGCACCAGAATCTGAGCCCCACGCGCATGCATTTTAACGAGTCCTTGTAGAAGCAGCTCTCCCTTCCCAAATTCCCCAAGGCTGCAGGGGCGTCATACATTTGCCGAGTTCGCCAAAGTCCCTCCACCCTCCCGCCGGCGGTGATGGGATGGACGGAGAGTACCGCGGCACTCACCGCTGGCAGCAGGGCCTCTCTTCGCACCGCCCAACGCAGCCCCGGCTCCGACGCCGCCAGAGCAAACACCGGAAGTGGAGTTAGCCCGAGCTCCGTGTGAGCATGCGCGAAGCCCGCTCCGGGCTCGCAGGCGACGCGCAGACGCAGCCCCGCCCCTAACTCCTCCACGGCGGCGCAGTCTTGGCTGTCAGCGGCTCGACCCCACCCCCCAGCCCGTTCCCCCGCCCAGGTGACCCGGAAGTGATCGCGAACTCCCGCCCTCCCAGGGCGCTCACTCCAGATTTGCACCTTAGTCTATGGACGTGGGAATAATGGGAGACTTTCGTTGCAAATGGATTTTGGGGCGACTGGTTGGCAAGTGGTTGGTGGTCCGAGCACAGCAAATCTGCATAGCCTTTCCATTGCTTCCTTGAAACCATTGTTCTCTTTTCTTAAAATTAAGTTTTGAATTTATGGGACCCTTGACTATCTCCCCAAAGGTTGGGCAACACTGTTGTTGTTTTTTCCCGTCTCAGCAGTGGTGGTTCTGCTGACACCTGGAGTCGCTGTCATGAGGACCATCGACAAACTTTTTATAAAATAGGGGTGGAAAGTAGGGTGGCGAAGTGTGAAATAACGGAAAGCCGAGGAGTCCTAGGCAAGACAGCCCTGGCAACGCAGAGGCCAATGGTAAATGTGTGTGAGATTATTATGAGAAATACACAATAAATGCATAGCTAGCACTTAATGACTAGGAGCATAAGGATAACTGTATCTTATGCTTTTTATTAAGGTCTTCAGATTCATCTGAAATGGCAATGAAATTCTCAAATATCCCGAACAATAATTTCAACCTCTGATTACAAAAAAAAAAAAAAAAAAAATTGGTGGATCTTGAGATAACCACCATCCTTCTTTCTCCTTCTGCAAAACTTCCAAAAGAGCTTGGCCAAAATATGTTAAATTCTAAAACAAAATTTTAAGCTTTTCATCTTGTTAAAATAAGTATATGCAGAATAATGTACAGATCTGTACAAATGTATGGACCTGATGTTAATTTTTAATCCCTGCCTTCTTGAGCTGTGCTATCTTTAAATGTGTCTAGTCTGAATTAATATGCACTGTAAGTGTAAAATACCAGATTTCAAATAAAATAAAGAATGTCAAATGCCTCGTTAATAATTGTACATTGATTACAAATTGAAACAGTCATGCTTTGGATGTATTATATTAAATAAGATGTATTATTAAAATTAGTTTCATCTGCTTTGTTTTACCTTTTTTTAACTTTTTTATTTTTTATTGATTTTTTACAGAGAGGAAGGGAGAGGGATAGAGAGTTAGAAACATAGATGAGAGAGAAACATCGATCAGCTGCCTTTTGCACACACACCCCACTGGGATGTGCCCACAACCAGAAATGGAACCTAGGGCCCTTCAGTCTACAGGCTGACGCTCTATCCACTGAGCCAAACCGGTTAGGGCTGTTTTACCTTTCTAATGTCACTTGTAGAAATTTTAAATTTGTAGCTGGCATCATATTGCTATTGGACAGCATTGGTCTTGGGAGTCAGTGAGACGTAAGGGAAATATCAGGTTTAGATCCATTATTTAATCATTCTGGTTTGATGTCATTCATTCATTCTCTAATGCATTCCATATCATTTCCTATCCGATGCATATTTAAATAAGGATGAACTTTTTTTTTCTTCATCTTTTGATAGGGATATACTTTTATACTTGCAGGGAACTCTTACTCTTCCTGTATGCAATTGCTCGACATCCACACCTGAATAGTCTTCGTGATGGCATTTATGTTCCTGTTCCTAATTTTATACTGAATGTGTCGATTAAAATGCTGAGGATTCAGGAGGTTTGCCTAGTCTGGGTGTGTGATCTGTTAACAGGTTGTCTCTGCTTGTGTTACATCAAGAGCCTATTTTCTTCCTCTCAGTTCTTAGTATCTCCTTCAGGAGGCGCCTTTGAACTGCCAAGCACGGCTTGGGAGGTTGTTACCTGTCATGCTGACTTTTAGTAAAAAGGGAGGTGTCCAGGGTAGGTTCCATCTAAAAATGTCTCCCTTGTGACCAAGTCATTGATTGGCTGAGACTCTCGTTGCACCATCAACTATCGCTGTTGGCTAAGAGCCAGATATGTTTGCTGTTTAAATTTTTAAACAACATAAATGGGCAATCTTTAATATGTGATCTTATTTGCTTCTTAAAGAAACACCATGAAGTCTTAACATTTAGCCCCAATTTTATAGATGAGGAATCTAAGACACAGAAAATTTGATGACTCGCCTAGGGTCACATGATTGCACTCCTGATAGCTAGCTTAATTCTTCTGACTACATTCCCTGCCTCCACTCTTGTCCTGTAAGAAAGTAATTCATACCTGAAAACTGTAATGGATAAGCCAGCCTACACTGTGGAAGTTGAGTTGTACAGGCTCCACCCTGGAATTTGTTCTGCATTTGTATCAAAGCACCAAATATTTGACTTCTGTGAAAATAGCGCCAAGGTAAATTAGGCAGAGCCGGAAACCGGAACTTACATATGAGCTTACTGTATATACTAGTGGCAGTTTCAGATGTTTGCCTTTCTTTCTTTGTACAATAGAAATGGGGACATTTACCAGGACTGGACAAACAGAACATGCTGATAGAAGACCTTGGCTTGCATATGATTCACTCCTAGTAGAACAGACCCTTTGACACAGCTTGGACATGCTTTTTGATGGTGGGGAAGGATTTAACCCTACTAGCCATGCTTAACACAAAACTCCATTCTCCCTGGCTGTCAGAATAGGATATTTACTTAAAGTTCACTTCAGTTTTATGACTCCTTTACTTCAAGTCTGATGGCTTTCTCTCTTTGACTCTACTAAGTCTAAATTCTTGTGCTTGATTTTCATAAGCTGACCTACCCTAGCCACCCAAATTTATCTCCCAGTTCTCTTTAATAGGGTCATTTCGCTCTAGAAAGAGTAGGTCTCCTTCCTGGCCTTTAAAAATTACTTCCTGCTCTGTTTGGTCTTATGTTGCTTTCTTCAATTTGCCCTTTCCTGTCTTTTTAGAATCTAAATCCTACTTACTCACTGAGACAAACTCAAATCCCACTCCTTTGAACTCTGTAGTGCTTAGAATTTGTACCCAAACACATTTTAGCACTTATTGTGTGCCAGGGTTCTTTTCTCCCTCCCACCCCACCCCCATTCTTACTAAGAGAGATGATTGGTATTAGTAGGAGAGATTTGTTGATCTTGTAGGCGTTTCCATTCTAAATAATATGATGAGGATCGGGAGTCATTCTCCACCCTCAGAGGTGGAGCCCAATGGAGGCTCCTTGGGCACAGGTGTAAAAGGTGGGCCGGTCTCCTAGACACTGACCACACAGGATGACCATAGACACAAAAGCCCGAAATCTGGGAAGAGAGAAGAAAGGGAGACCTCAAGATGCCGGGTAGGAAATGATACTGTGCAGGCTGACTTGACAGGGTAAAGAAATGTGTGTTTGTTGTTTTTTTGACTCACGATATTGCAACCAATCACAGTGTTTTTATTTTTAACCAAGACCTTTACTAGGATTAACCTGGTTTATAACATGTCAGGTTATTTGTCTTTTTATTACTGAATTTTAAGAGTCCTTTGTATATTCTAGATCAGCGATTTTCAACCTTTCTCATCTCGTGGCACACATAAACTACTTACTAAAAGTCCGCAGCACACCAAAAAATGTTTTGAAGATTAAATGAATTGATACATATAAAGGCCTTAGAATAACTTACCCTCTCCCAAGGAAAATAATATTAGCTGCCATTAGCTCTCGCCTATTCTGACATTGATTCGTTAGTCTTTTTTTTATATCTTTTATATATATATTGATTTTACAGAGAGGAAGGGAGAGATAGTTAGAAACATCGATCAGCTGCCTCCTGCACACCTCCTACTGGGGATGTGCCCGCAACCAAGGTACAAGCCCTTGGCCAGAATCGGAATCGAACCTGGGACCTTTCAGTCCGCAGGCTGACGCTCCATCCACTGAACCAAACCAGTTACAGCATCATTAGTCGTTTTTATGCCAGTTGGTTTCCACTGAATTGTGGGCTTCCTTAGGGCCAGATATCTTGTCTTTGACTTACATATTTTTGCACGCCACCCCAGTATTTTGTCCGGTGCCTGGCATGACATGGCAGCATAAAATGGAAGCTCAACACATTTGTGTTGAGTTCAGTTACTTCTTCCCTATGGATAAAGCCCAAGCACCCGCAGATCTCAGCACGGGGACCCATTGCCCATCTCCATCTCCCAGGCCCCCTCAGAAGACCAAACCCGCCACCTGCTCTGATGACCTCGCCAACACACCACTCCACTCCCTCGGAGGGGGCGGGCTCGGTGCCTGGATGGAGACTCCAAACAGGGACGAACAGTGTCAGGCCGCGGGTGGGATTTCATAGTTGGGAAAAGGAGGTACCAAACCAAGAATGGGGGGTGCGGGTCAGAAACGAGAGGCTGCGTGAACCTCGCGCCATCGCACCAACAGGTGGGAGGTTAGGGATCCCAGGTCGCGGGGCGGAGGTGCGGGGAGAGCGGAGAAGGCAGTTCGGTCCTCCTCCCAGACCCCCTTCCTCCGCTCCCGGGGCCGGTGCTGACGTGTCAGCCCAACAGCTCAACCCCGCCCGGCCCCGCCCCTCGCGCCGGACCCCGCCCCCTCCACGCCCCGGCCCCGCCCCATTCCGCCCTGGCCCCGCCCACTGGCGCCGCGGGCCTCAGCCTCCGCGTCACCGGCCCCCGCGGTGACCACAACATGGCTGCGGCGCCGGGGCTGCCCTTGTGCCTGCTCCTGCTCGGGCTGCCCTGGCGGGTCGCGGGCCGGCTGGAGCCCGACACGGGCCGGCGCTTCTCCACGCACAAGCTCTGCGCGGACGAGGAATGCAGCAGTGAGTGCCCGAGGGCCGCCGGGGCCGGGCCGCGCGGGGGCGGGAGCGGGGCAGCCCGCACGCCGCCGGGGAGGCGCAGCCGGGGCTGGAGGGCGGAGCGCCGCGCCGGGGGTCGGGGGCCGAGCCCGGGGTCCCGGCGTGTGTCCCCGGCGGCTCTGCGGGCGCCCGGGCCAGC